ACCGTTGCTTCAGATACAAGCGGTTGGCGAGAAACTTCTTCATATATAAACTCTTCAGCTTGTTTCATAACCCTTCGATTTTGTCTTCATCGATAACCTCACAAAGAACTTCATCAGCAAGAGACAACTGAATTGCACTATGTGTTTTTTCTTTAATATCAACAACTTTAGTTTGATCTGTCTCATTGGATAAAGTTCTATCAATAGCCTTTGCCAAACCCTGCTGACGAAGCAATGCCTTCATCTTGATCTGTCATAAACTGAAATTTTTCTTACCATCAAATTTTTCTATCTCGAATTTTGCGGTAGTCATCCCGAAACCAATAGCTCTGATACCAATTTGTTATAAACAAAACCACAAACAAAATAATAACGCAACGAAATAGAAAAATAGAACATAAAGATTTACGTGGTTCGGCTCAATAAGCAAGCCTACATCCACGAACGAAACACAACGTCAAAATTTCACTATTGAAAGGTTGGAGATTACAACGTTCTCAGACCAAATCAAAGAGAAAACTAGATATCTGCTTTATTCCAATAATAAAATATTTATTGGATTTAACAAAATAGAGCAATATCAATTTATCACACACAAATAAAACTCTTGTACCGTCGTCAATGGTCAACCACTAACTCACTGGAGAATACGTCCTTTTTATCTAACTTCTGGACTCAGGAATTGGATTCCTTCACAAATTTTTTGTCCTGAGGAGGTCTCACGTGTAGGACNCTTTTTATCTAACTTCTGGACTAAGGAATTGGATTCCTTCACAAATTTTTTGTCATGAGGAGGTCTCACGTGTAGGATAAAAAACCAAAGACTCCTTGAAAGCTTTGATTTTAAACAACAAAAGTCCATGTTGGACTAAACTCCACTAAAATAATAAAACCAAGATAATTCTAATTAAGGTCAAATTTGTCTATCAGAGACTCCAATGAAAACTCATGTCTCCAATTAGAGTCCATATAAAAAATAATTGACTTGAATACAAGTGATCACAACATATCTTTTAGTCTAGTGTTATTTCATGTGATGTCCCTTGAGCTATCAATGACTGTGTCCACTAGCATCATAAAAGATAGCTCATCCAACTTGGATAAGGTTATGCCTGAACTTGCGGTTCTAGGCTTCTTCTAGCAATGGGTACAAGACAAGTCCATATCCTTGTTAGGTGGGGTTTTGGTAATCAATCATCAACTACAACGCTGCACCTCTTGTTTAGCATAAGAATGAATAATTTCATCAGTAATTTGATTTGTTTGGAATCTTGATATTGGAAATAACAAACATCACTGGGGTCCATCAGGAAAACGCTCAAAAAAAGCCCCAACAAGACTAAGACCTTCCTTGTTGGGGCTCTGTACACTAGGAAAACGCTCTAGCGATGGAAAACCTGGCCACTAGTTACAACGTTTCAAGAAGGTATCAAGAGGGCTCTAACTATACACCTCCAAAGCTAGTGATTACGGGCAAAAAAAATATATACTCAAACCCGCAATAGAAAGAGTTTGGAGAGCCCTATGACGAAATGGAATGAAACAAAAGTGGAACACTCAAAAAATTAGAATTCTATTTACGTCCACGAGAGCTAATGTTTTTCATTAAATGAGAATTCCGTAAGGTTATAAACTTATTTATAAGCAACTATTGAGAACTTCACTTGAAGCAACTAATTATAATTTCATAAACCATCGATATTTAATGATTCCTATCAGTTTCTCCATCATATGACAAGCTCCACTTGAACCAACTAACTATACTTAAGATTAATTAGGACCACTTCATTGATCTTATTCTTGCATCTAGATCAAGTGCCCTCGTCCCTTTGACAAACATCCATGTGACATGTTCCCCCTTTTAAGCTCAGCCACTAAGATTGCTTATCGGACATGTACCTAATTATTCCTTTACATTAAAAGAGCTTTAAAAAAGAGTAACATTCTTTAAGTCAAGTTAACCAGATCGAGATACGCTCCAATACCCTTTTTTTTTTAAAATCATCTACTATTAAAAAGTGAGAGGCCATATGAAATGAGTCTTGCTTGAATACAGAGTGATTCACTAAGAAATGAATTGAAGAAAAAATTTATAGAAAGGAATTTCGGTGTTCGCCTACCATAGTTGATTGGATGAAAAGATTTAAAAATATATCACCTCGGAATTCCAAGCTTGACTACAGTTAAAGATTCTTGTTTTATTCAATGCACTTAATTTGCATGTAGTTAGATGCATATGGGATTCGCATTGTAACCATACCCCGAGAAAGAAAAGAAAAAAAAAAAGGTTCCATGCTATTAATGTTGAAATACAGTGACATCCTATAAGTCCAAGGGCTGAAAAATTTTTGAACCTGTTTTAGGNGATGCATATGGGATTCGCATTGTAACCATACCCCGAGAAAGAAAAGAAAAAAAAAAAAGTTCCATGCTAATAATGTTGAAATATAGTGACATCCTATAAGTCCAAGGGTTACCTGATTAAGTGACGTTATAATGACTACTTTAGTTGTCTCTTTAATTGCAACTACAATGACAGTAAACAGAAAGCTTATGTCCTACAATAATGGTGCAGTCCTCCTCCAACTTGGAGAATATGAAGCCTCAACTTCTGGTTCTTCCACTGCTTTGCCACTCCATTACATCGGGACTTAATTTTCTATGACATTTGAATTGATTGTGGGTTCAATTAAACATTGAAACTTGGTATTGATCCAATAATTCCACTGAAATCACATCATCAGATAAAAAAATTAGATCAAATTTTTAGTTTTAAATAACATTACTCTTACATTGTTAGGTAGAGGTTTTGTTCACTCATTAAGTGCATCACTGGACTCTATGTTTAGTCATGAAAGTGAATAATTGATGTGTTTGGCATCTTAAATGTCTCAACCAATCCATGTCACTGATCTATCCACCATGGATCAAATTAGGATTACATAAACTTCCAGAACTTTTCCCATCTTATTTAGTTAAGAAATATTATTTGTACCTAATTTGGAGAGTTAATCTAAGTAGGGCTGATGATTGAATCAAACTTTCAAGCTCAGCTACTTTATATGTAAAATAGTCGAGTTATTCAGGTTTGGCTCGTTTTGAGCTCTACTCAGACGCAGCTTATTTTTTAAACAAGCCGAATTTAAATAATTTATTAGGCTCATTTAAAAAAAACGAGCTCGACAACATTAGCTCAAGCTCATAGAACTTGGCTTGATTATTAGCCCTAAATCTAATTACCTAATCAATGACGGTTGTTGGATTACTAGTGGAGTCCATCAAATATTAAAACCACAAATGATCCAGTTGTTATAATGTACAAGGCCCTCGAATTAGGTCTACTTTTTCTATTCAATATTTACTAACCAAATCAATGAGATTGCTTAACCCCATCACCTTCCCATCACTATCAAAGAGAAAACTTATCGGTCAGAATTGGGCCGGACCGGGCTAGTTATGCACAATCTGTGGCAGCCACTGGGCCAAGACAGTGTGTCCAGGTAAAGTGCAGCGCATGATCTGTCCGTCTGAGTGACACTTCGGAGCAGAGGCCAACATACGGGCCGTCTTGCATGCTTTAAGCAGGCAGTCTCTTGGGCTTAGCAAGACAAAAACCACGAGAAATTGGACCTGTTTGGTTTGATTTTCAAAAACTGTTTTTTTTGTATTTAAAACTCTAAAACCAATGAAAACATATTTGATTTGAATTTTTATTCTTCAATTTTAGAAAAAAAAAAAAAAGAGGGAAATGGAGCATAAAATTGAAAACAAGCCCATGTTGTTTTCGGGTGTTTAGGGAAAAATGAAAAACACAGAGAACACCATTTCTTCATTAATAAGGCCTTCCCTTCGAACTTCCATAGCAACAAATAAGTTCCTACTACAAAAGATTTTTTTTTTTTTTGCCTTTTGTCTTTATGTTTTTTTGCCTTTTCTCTCTCCCTGAATATCACTCTCTCTCTATCTCACTAAGCTCTCTCTTCTTCTCCACCGCTCACTGTAGCTTTCTCTCCCGTAATTCTTCTCCTCTCTCTCTACAGCAGAGCAATACATATACAGATCTGTATATATACGTAAATCTATGTGTGTGTGGGTGTGTTTGTTGTGTGGGTGTGTATATCTGTTGTTGGAGAAGATAATAGAGAGAGAGAGAGAGAGAGAGAGACAGAATGCTCTAGATGGGAACCTGATTGGACAGGGAAGAATTTTGTAGTGATATACTTTTTTTTTTGGTCAGAAATAATAAGTTAAATATTAGTTTTGTGAATCACTGTCAAAACAGATTTTATTATTTTATGTTCTTTAAAACTATTTTTAAAACCATAAAACCAAACATGTTTTGTAATATAAAAATATCAAAAAATATTTTCTTAAAACTCTTTTTAAAAATTATTTTCGTATACTGTTTTCAAAAATACAAACCAAACAGGGCCCCAATATCTAGAGATCTTAAGCTCGACTCCAAAAAGATTAGCACATCACCAGCTCTACAGAGAGGGATTAGCAGCACATCAGCACGACGCACAGCATCCTGAGTTCAATCTCAAACATGGCATTACATCCATCTTGGAGACTCCCAAACAGTCATTCATGCTGCAACTCTGCCACATTAAACCCACTTGGTTTTCTGCAACATCAAAACACACCGCAGAGTCGAAGGAAACTTGCACCCTGATTGGAGTATTATGCCCCCATGGGCAGCAGCTCATGAACTCACCAAATATTCACCACAAAGTCTTATTAGTAGTAAGTTTTACCTCTGTAGTTACATTACTTCTATCCTCATTCTCAATGGTAGGTATGTTCATGGAAGCTATCCTTGTTTTTAGAGTTTTGAGAATAAAAAACTGTTTTTGAAAATCAAACCAAACAGGCCCTAGAATTTCTAAAAAACTTGTGAGACTGAGAAGTGGGATTCAAACACAAGCAACACACTCATGCCTAATTACATAGTCATATGGAATATTGGTCCGGCCTTCGGCGCCAAGCTTGCTTTGGCCTCAATTCTTGCTTTTCTGCTCTTCAAACTTATCGATGGCTATCTGAAGTTCATCTGTACCTCCAACAGCTCTCATGGTATAGAAGTATACCCCAAAAACAAACGTTGTCAAGCCTCCAGCAACAACCAGGTTCTTGGTCTTGGGTGCAAGACTGCCAAATCGCAAAAGCCCAGCCATCTATAAGCTAGTGCTGCCTTTTGTTATGCCTTCAAAACTGCAATTAGATTAGAAATAACTGAATTTGTAAACTTGTCATAGTTAGAGAGCACATGCTACTGAAAAACAAAAAATGGCATCGGTCAGAATTTGTTGGGGATAATTGATATAACAGGATACACTTTAGAAAACATCAAACCATAACTGCTACAGGGGTGCTGCCAATGTATCACCTTCAACACCAGTAGCAGCAACAGCAACAGTAAAAGTAACGACAACAGATGACATTAAGTTATCAGCATGATCTCTCGCTTGCAGAAGGCATACTAGACAGTACTTGATGTGTATTTACTGACTATAAGTACTGCAAAATGGAAACTAGAGTACCAGCTTTGGATTCATTTATAGCAGTTACATAAAAGCACAACACTAATCTGTTAAACCAAGCCTAAAATAATAAACTTTAGTCTGCCACAAATGAAGCAAAAAAAATATGCAATAGTGTAAGGTAAATCTAACCACCAAGAGTTTCAGAAGAGTTTCATAGTGAACATAAAGGATTCACATTATAGAGAGAGAGTAAACTAGGAGTAAGACGTTGTGGACTGTAGAGCAAAAATCCTTCCAGTTTACTTAATGTTTACCAACAGCCTCTGCAAAAGTTTTTGAATAAAGGTAAAATGAAACTGATTATCTAAAATGGTGGTTCTTAAATTTCTAGGGCCAGGAAGATTGCGGACAGAACCATACTAATTTGTATTTTATATTCCACAGTTTTATTTGTCTACAAGAATTGGTTAGTTATTTCAAATATGCGTAGAATCCAAACTATGTTTCTCTATCGCATAAGTTTAGTGTCTATGGAGAGCTATTTCTGTAATCTGTACCACATAAAGAGAAGCATTAAATTTCCTGAACAGGTTGCAGCAATATCACCTGTTTAAACCATCGTGTAGCAGTCAAGTTTCAGTAGTCAAAGTTGTCCTGGGCGATACCATTGGCAGTAATTCCTTGTCTATGTTTATACTCCACCTTAATGTCACCATGACACTTCATTTCCGCAAAACCAAAAAAATAACTGGCCAGGACATCCCCAAATAGGATACATGAAGACATACTTATTCACCAGAGATCAAAGATGCAAGTGAACCTCTGCCCACTACAGCCAATTGTATACAGAAAACAGTTGCATAGCAACTGCCCATATCTAGATGCCAGCTCAGTTAAATTCTCGAAATTGAAGTTGATTAGAAGAAGAAAATAAAAGCGAATTCCACACCACTCAAGAATATTAAATGGAAATTGTCTAACTTTTGATTCAAGTCCTAATTTTTCTATTCCGTCTTAGTAGGCTGCTCAATCTAAACATATTTTCTCATGTATTTAGGCATTTCTAGAATTTCCAAGTATGGGGTGTAGGGTGGTGTGAGATCTATAGTACTTGTTTTAGAGATCCAAAAGCTACAATATTTGTCCAGATCAGTAGATAAAATCAATATTGTATCAAAGAAAGAGTACCAATGGATGACTGAGAACCCTTATCCATGGGATAGAACATAAGTCAAGAGCAGTAAAATGAAAAGACTATCAATAAGGGAAGCATCCTTTTCATAAGCTAATGAACAGGTAAAAATATGACTAAAAATATGAATTAGGGGACTTACTCTGATTTCCAAATTTCATTTTGTGCTTTCCTAATTATACGCCTTATGCTAACAAACATTGAGTTGAGTAAATTTACAAAAAAAAAAAAAAATTCTCTCCCAACAGTTTTCAAACACCTAGAAATAAGGTTGCAAACTTTAATTTTAATTTTTGGACGGGTTTCTAGGGTTGCAAAATTTCATTTTAATTTTTGGATAACAAAGAACCATTCCAACCATGTGTCATTTGCACCCATGGCTACAACGCCTATTTCAATGCATTCACTCATCCAAAAACATGCACAGCGGGGTAATCGGATAACCTCCTTAAGCCTTAAGGTATTAACCAAGGTTAAAAACTACAAATTTAATCTTTTTTTGATGCACACATACAAGGAGATACATGCATATTTTGAACATACTTTATCCAACATCATAATGCAGTCACTCACAAAAGCTTAAGACCAACATCATACAAAGTTTTTGAGCAAAACCAATCCCTCTCACCTCTCTCTTCTCTCTTCTCTCTCCTCCCTCAAAACTCCCAAGCCCACATTTCCATTGACAGCAAAATTGAAACAAAAAACAGTAAACCGAAGTGCAATCAAGAGTCAGAGTATGAGAACAAATCAGTACACTGAAGCCATTCTGAGTCTACAATTGGAAATAACCAACAAAAAAAAAAAAACAATACAACAAACTAACAAATGACAATCAAAAATCGACTCAAGCATCTCTCCCAGCATGACCAATAAAACTCAGGAGATATGATTTGTGTTATACTCATCCAAGTGACTTGAAACCACCGATGCTGCAAATCATACCGCCATCAAATTCCCCCTATGTCATTTAATTCCAACACACGAAAATCAAACACTGTATCGAGTACATCAACCTTGCCCTAAAAGAAACAATACTCAACGAAAATCTATGTCATGTACAGTTTATGGTTAATTTAGAACCTTAACCATAGGTTTTGTAATTACAATGAGAAAATGGGCTGGGTCAATCAACCAAGCTGCTGAGACAGAGGTAGTTGGTGGCTGGGCGCGTCGCCGACGGTGGTCGATGGTGTTGAGAGAGAGAGAGAGAGATTCCTGGAAAAAGAGACCAAAAAATCCATTCGCAAGATGTCTAAAGGAGGATCTAGAAACCGAAACCAAAGTGTACATGGTTTGAAATTTTTATTGGAGAATTTCATGCAAACAAAATTGAACGGCCAACGAAATTCCACACCCTGTGCATTGAATACAAATCTGAACGCTGAACAGAGAGAGAGGCTCTAAAGAAAAACACTAACCGGCGTATGTAGATCCTAATTCCTCTACAGAGAAGAGAGATGGGAAGAGACTGGGCATAGTGAGGGAGAGGACGGAGTGTTGACTGTTGAGGGAGAAGACAGATGGTCAGAGCGTCAGTAGATATGGGGAGAGAGATAGCAGACAAGAGGGCAAGAGAGAAGAGGGGAGAGATTAGGGCACAGATGGGGAGGGTTGCTGCTGTGGCAGACGGGGGTGAAAATGGAATAAAAAAAAACAAAGACAGAGAGAGACAAAGAAAACATACATGGAAGTCGCCGGAGATCTGCCTTGAAGTCGCCGGAGTTGCTAAGTCGTCTATGCATTACTTTCGAGGTATAAACGACTGCAAGCACGTCAAAGCAACCCCGCTTGCACTTCCATTAGAGCCAATATTGGGCCGGGGCTGTCTACAGTCAACAGGTTTCAAAAGCCCATGAACCCGTTTGTCCACTCATTGACTGGTCCACGGGTCAGGCTAGTGTGTAGGAAAACACAGCAAATGACGTGCCCATTGAGCTGACCCCTATGGGCCTAGTGGGCTACGCATAAGGCCGGTCCGAGTGGTTTTTTACCTTCAACTGTGTTTATTAACATTGGGATCTTATTTGAGTTGAGTTTGAATCCGAGCTTGTTTTTTTAAACAAATTTTAAAAATTATTCAAATTCAATTCGTTTAGAATTCATGTTGAACTCGAATAGTTCGAGTAGCTGAGTTTGTGAGCTTGAACCAAGCCTTGTCAACTTTTTTTTTTTAAACGAACCTAAAAAATTATTCAAGTTTAAATTATTTAGAATATAAGTCAAACTCGAGCTGAATTTTATTCTGAGTCAAGCCCAAATTGTTCGTCTTAATTAACACCCTACATATAATGCATTAATGCTCCTTTTAGTATAGTTTATTTTTCTCTTTCATAAACTTGCTTGATTTCTGTGGGTTTGGTTCCAACATTCTTCAAAATTACCATGGGCCAGCTTGATTCTTACATAACTAAGCAGACAAGTTCCCATTGTTACTTATCATGGAAGCTTTGAAGGAATACATTATAAACCTAAGACTTGCGACAGCTGTGTACTCTCTCTCTCTCTCTCTCTCATTCACTTAGAATTTACAAATGTGAGGAGTTGAAGTACACGAAACATGTCAGCAAGCAGCCAGGTGTGGTTGACAAAAAAGACATCAGCAAAACCAGAAGCCAAGTGAATGATACGTGGCTAGCTAGTTGCATGGGTTTAGAAGATTCTTTTGGTGAATGGGACTCGATTGAATAATATTTCAAGTTTGAAAATTATTACTAACTAGGTCGAAGACCAAGGAGGACAGAAAACTATAAAAGTAGGTGAAATATTTTGATTCCTTTCTCCTTCCTGTGTTCACACTTCATAGATTCCAACCCTATAGCCTTTCGCACTTCAACTATTTTTTCATTCTTTTATATGAGATTTTTTTTTTCGCGCACCTCGACAAATCTCTTTTCTAGTTTGATTAAAAATATATCATCTATGTCGGAACTAGATAATTATAAATTCATGACCTAACTCTAATGAATTGTCAAAATTCAAATTCAAAACGTTTGAATTTATCATTATTATTTCTTCAACTATCCGATTTCGCGGTTTGGTTTAATGAATAGGGAAAAAAAATAGAGATTTATGTTGACGTCTTCATGCACCACCTCCCCTTGGACCTACACGGCTACACAGAACAGGCTAGGGAATAGTCAACTAGATAACCTCACCTTCAAAATCTAGTTGCCAACCGAAGCCACACATTATCATCCTCTCCATTTATAAATATAGGATCATACTTATAAACCATCTCTCTCTCTCTCTCTCTCTCTGCAGCTCTCTCTCTATCTCACACACACACACACGCAGAAATTTGCATTGATAAGAAAACACACAAAGAAACACAGACAGTATGGGCAACTGCCTAAGGCGCCAATCATCAAAGGTAGAGGCAAATGATGATGACTATGGCTCTGTCTCGGTGTCTTCAAAGATATGTATGGTAGAAAAGCAAAGTACCCCTGACATGGGTGAAGGTGGTGTTTTCTCATCCTCATCATCTCCAACTTCTAACAGAGAGATTAAGATCAAGATGACCAAGAAACAGCTACAAGAATTCCTCAAAACAGTAAACGTGCATGGCATGCCTGCAGACCAAGTCTTGTCTCTCTTGATCAACACTACTGGTGATTNTAAGGCGCCAATCATCAAAGGTAGAGGCAAATGATGATGACTATGGCTCTGTCTCGGTGTCTTCAAAGATATGTATGGTAGAAAAGCAAAGTACCCCTGACATGGGTGAAGGTGGTGTTTTCTCATCCTCATCATCTCCAACTTCTAACAGAGAGATTAAGATCAAGACGACCAAGAAACAGCTACAAGAATTCCTCAAAACAGTAAACGTACATGGCATGCCTGCAGACCAAGTCTTGTCTCTCTTGATCAACACTACTGGTGATTGTTTCGAGATTCACCATCAACGCCCATGGAGGCCTTGCCTTCAAAGTATTCCCGAGATGAACTAAAAATAGATGGTCATGATCAGTTCATGGTTATCAATCAGAGACTTAGCTTCTCGTGTGTGATCTCCTCCACTATAGCTTTTTTCTTCTATTCTTCTTGATATATCAATTACCGTAAATTCAAATGGAACTCATTGTTTATAAATGAATCTTGATTATTATGTGGTATCTGATCTATTAAAGAGAGAAATGTATTAGGGCGGATCTAAATCTTTACCTACTATGCATTTTTTTGTTGTTGTCCTGTAGCTAGGAAGACTGGGTTATAGAAATTGAATTTGTTGTTGTACATAGAAAATAGGTTGATTTGAATATTATGTATGTACCGTTCAGTTGATTAATGTACAGATTCTAGATATTTAGAAAAGTACAAATTTTACCCAGCAAATAGAAAACTGAACGAAAAGGACAATTTTTATTTTATGTTTTTGTTGTTGNCTTGATTATTATGTGGTATCTGATCTATTGAAGAGAGAAATGTATTAGGGCGGATCTAAATCTTTACCTACTATGCATTTTTTTGTTGTTGTCCTGTAGCTAGGAAGACTGGGTTATAGAAATTTAATTTGTTGTTGTACATAGAAAATAGGTTGATTTGAATATTATGCATGTACCGTTCAGTTGATTAATGTACAGATTCTAGATATTTAGAAAAGTACAAATTTTACCCACCAAATAGAAAACTGAACGAAAAGGACAATTTTTATTTTATGTTTTTGTTGTTGCGATGCATATGTATTACTCCATATGAAACCTTGTCCAAAATCCTCTGCAGACACAACTTGTGTTCGAGTGTTTTCCTAGTGGATCAACCCACAGGACCAAGCCAGGATTACCCAAACATAAGCCTTTTTAAGGTTTGTATTGTTTTGAGCAAAAGACTTTTTTTTTTTTCTCAATGTAATTTAACTGAATAACTAGGAGGTATTCGAGTTTCTTAAAGGATCCAACTAATTTGTTGTACATTAAGAGTGTCAAAATATGATATAATTTTTTAACGACACAAATTTGAATATGAAATTAAAAAATTTGAGTATTCTTTAAGTTATTCACCCGTTTTATAAGCAAGCAGACTTGACATAACACGATTAATCTTGGATCAGAACAAGTTGATAGAATTCCCTTCTTTCGTCCCCATTTCCCCCATGTCGCGACATNAGGTTTGTATTGTTTTGAGCAAAAGACTTTTTTTTTTTTTTCTCAATGTAATTTAACTGAATAACTAGGAGGTATTCGAGTTTCTTAAAGGATCCAACTAATTTGTTCTACATTAAGAGTGTCAAAATATGATATAATTTTTTAACGACATAAATTTGAATATGAAATTAGAAGATTTGAGTATTCTTTAAATTATGCACCCGTTTTATAAGCAAGCAGACTTGACATAACACGATTAATCCTGGATCAGAACAAGTTGATAGAATTCCCTTCTTTCGTCCCCATTTCCCCCATGTCGCGACATAGTGGCGAAACAAGGAAAGAGAGGGATGGAGTTTCTTGTGCTTTTGGCATAGCAGCCTCGGTGAGATAAACGAATCATGAGTGAAAGTAGGTAAAAAAAATGTACGATAAGATTCATCTATATACTAATTATTTATAATTTATATACGATACAAACACGATATAATTTGATTCATTAAACATTAATTAATAATTGAATTAAATATATGTGAATTATCCTTTAACATGANTATTCTTTAAATTATGCACCCGTTTTATAAGCAAGCAGACTTGACATAACACGATTAATCCTGGATCAGAACAAGTTGATAGAATTCCCTTCTTTCGTCCCCATTTCCCCCATGTCGCGACAAAGTGGCGAAACAAGGAAAGAGAGGGATGGAGTTTCTTGTGCTTTTGGCATAGCAGCCTCGGTGAGATAAACGAATCATGAGTGAAAGCAGGTAAAAAAAAATGTACGATAAGATTCTTCTATATACTAATTATTTTTAATTTATATACGATACAAACACGATATAATTTGATTCATTAAACATTAATTAATAATTGAATTAAATGTATGTGAATTATCCTTTAACACGAACTCACGAAAACCTAATATCAATTAACCTCACTGGACATAATTTTTTTTTTTTTTCGATGCATTGAAAAATTAAAAGATCTAATTTAAATAAAGTTCCTAAAATAAACAACAGCGGTTATATCAGTCATAAGAACATTAGACATCGAGGGAGATGGATCTTGTAGCACCACGGACGAAGGGATTAGCCAATTGACAGCCCACTTGACATACCTAGTGGGAATGACTTTTCATTTTTAGATGGTTGGGGGGCACGATTTCTTCTTAGGAAGGAACACGATTTAACGCTTAGTTTTGGCTTATTAGGCCATCTCTAATGTTGCCCTTAGTCTTATCTTCGTTCTCTGGCGAAGTTTCTCTTCTGATGGATGGAGATGATTCATATTCAAAACATTACATTATAATTTTATTATTTTTCTACCAAATATAAAATAAAAGGGAGAATTACGTCTAGACCTCACGATGTTTGTCACTTAATCCCTCAATCTCCTTGATATTTAAAATATTATACATTAACTCCTGAAATTTGTATGCGTGTAACACATAGATATTGATGTAAATATATTATTTAATATATTATACTTAGGCTCTCTAAAATTTATAGGTATATAATATTTAGACCCTTTAAATTTAAAATATTATACTTAGACCAAAAATACTCCAATCAAAAATAAAATATAAAATATTTTAAAATTTACAACTAAAATTTATGTTTTATTATGAATGACTTAGACTTTTTATTTGATTTTTTATTTTTATTTCAGTAGATAATATAATTGCATACTAATTATGATTTTTTTTTTTTTAAAAAAAAATTTAATTTTTAATTTTATTTCAATAAATGAGACAATAGAACATGAATTTTAGTTGTAAAATTTAAAATATTTAATATTCTATATTTAATTTGAGTATTTTTTATCTAAGTATAATATTTTAAATTTAAGGGATTTAAATATTATATACCTACAAATTTCACGAGAATTTAAGTGTAATTTATTAATAGATATATTTATAGTAGGGGTATAAGTGTTAAATATGTATAAATTTTAGAGAATTTGTGTGTAATATTTTAAATATCATGAGTTTGGGCGTTAAAGTGACAAAAATAAAAATTTTCTGCCTTCTTCCTATGTAATACTTGAAGACTAGAGGCTCACCACGCACCTGTCAACAGACAGGAGGTCTGTGACTTTCCGATCTCGATATAGTCTCTACAACCTTAATCACTTAAACCATGAATATCAGAAAAATCAGAGATCTTGTATAGTTATTTTTTTTCCCCAATTTCTAACCTTTGTTTCCTTATTCTTCTGTTAGAAGTCGAGTTCTTTTTCCTCAATTCTGTTCTTAAAAAAACCATAGAACCCAATTCGGGAGTTGGGTCTTCCACAAGGAACCATCTCTGATCTGGGTTTTACTCAGAAAGTAGGCTGCAAAAATGGGTGGTTGTTTTAGCAAGAAAAAGGTTTCAGAACCAGAGGGCAATGGGTACAGATCTGGAAGAGGTGGCAATCCAGGGCATCAACAAAGTTACCAACAACAACCTCTTGTTCACCAAAGTTATCAAAAACCATCAACGCAGTACACCTCGCCCCAACCACAAAGTCACCACCAGCCACCACCACAGCTACACCCAGTTCCTACTCCATTGAAGCCTGCAGCACCCCAAAACCACCCGAGGCCTGTTCATAGGTCAGAGCCAAACACCATACTTGGTAGGCCATTTGATGACATAAGATCAGTCTATACCCTTGGCCAAGAACTGGGTAGGGGTCAGTTTGGGGTAACTTATCTTTGTACTGAGAATTCAACTGGCAAGTCTTATGCTTGCAAGTCAATCCTGAAGAGAAAGCTAGTGAGTAAAAAGGATAGAGAAGATATAAAGAGAGAGATTCTGATCATGCAGCATTTAAGTGGGCAGCCAAATATTGTGGAATTTAAGGGTGCTTATGAGGATAGGCAATCAGTGCACCTTGTGATGGAGCTTTGTGCTGGTGGAGAGTTATTTGAAAGGATTATTGATACTGGCCAGTATTCTGAGAGGGCTGCTGCTGAGATTTGTAGGCAAATTGTGAAAGTTGTGCATATTTGCCATTTTATGGGGGTGATGCACAGGGATCTGAAGCCTGAAAATTTCTTGCTATCTAGCAAAGGTGAAGGGGCAATGTTAAAGGCAACCGATTTTGGGCTCTCTGTCTTCATAGAAGATGGTGAATTTCTTGCCCTCCTATGTTGTTTAGTTATCCGAATTTAGTCTTAGACATATTGAGTTTATTAAGTTCCATTCTTTAAGATATATTTGTATCCATTTTTCCTTATAGTCTAAATTTTGTTGTAGACATATTGAGTCTTGCTATCATCAATGCCGCCTTTGTTTCTGTTTACTTGAATATTGTTGCTATCCTCTTTCAATGATATTTATCAAGCCTTGTATTAACTAAGAAGAGGCTTTTAATTCGTCTGATTTCTTTAACTTCCTAAGGGACATATTGAATGTGAGCAACTCTTCTATATCAAATAAGGGATAACTATGTCTGTTGAATCTATTGTCTCCAATGAGTTGGTTCCTTTTTCGCTTTTACGTTTACTTACTCATTGGTGATCCTTTTTATCCTACATAATTTGGGTATACCTGCTTCCCCTAGAATTTTGCTAATGCTATCCTATATTATACATTAAAAGCTCAAGCTTACTTACCTTTTATGTCACAAATATCAGACAAGTTGTACCATGACATAGTTGGCAGTGCTTACTATGTTGCACCTGAAGTACTGCGTCGTAGATATGGAAAGGAAATAGATATTTGGAGTGCAGGAGTTATTTTGTATATTCTGCTCAGCGGTGTACCTCCATTTTGGGCTGGTAAGGCAATGTTAACAGTTGACTATAATGTTGCACTTTCTTGCTTCTTGATGAGGTTAGAGTAACATCGATTTGTGTTGCAGAAACTGATAAGGGGATATTTGATGCCATACTGCAAGGAGATATTGACTTTGAGAGCAAACCTTGGCCATCGATATCAGATAGTGCCAAAGACCTTGTTCGAAAGATGCTGACACAGGACCCAAAAAATAGAATTACTTCTGTGCAAGTTCTTGGTATGTTACTCACTTTTTTCTTTTTTTAGCAGAATAGATTATTAGATCTAAATAGCATTTAGTCATTCTGTTGCTGGACCTCTGTTTGGCAAGCTGGGACATACAGAAAACTGCTTCCTGTAATGTTTGTAAAGGACCAAATAAATAAGATCATTGTATATAGTTTACTCATGTGCCATGATAACCAACGAATGAACTATGAGGAATACTGATTGAATTTAAGTTGATACTGGGATTCTGCCAAAGAAGAATTCAGAAAGAGCATAATCAGGGCAGTGAGAGCGTATATGCTTTTAAATCGAACATTTTGACACACACAATAAAATAGAACTTATTTCATGGAAAGTCTAGGACACATTTGACAGAAGGAGGTCCCAAATTGTTTAGGTTCTGTTTCCTGTAATAAGCTTGGTAATATGTTTTGGATGTTTGCTTCTTACTACCTTTCAAATTCTTCATTCTTGTCTATGAAGAGCACCCCTGGATAAGAGAAGGTGGAGAAGCATCAAACAAGCCAATAGATAGTGCAGTGCTCTCTAGAATGAAGCAATTCAGGGCAATGAACAAGCTCAAGAAACTTGCATTAAAGGTAAGCTTGTAAACCCTATGTGATGCATAACTGTGAAAAGAAATATCCTTTTGGTCATATGATGAACATCAATTATGCTTTTGAGGCATTATTAATGACCTGTTTGGTAAACTGTCTGAGAAGCCATTGCCCTTTCTGCGACATATATCCCATCAGTTGGGTTTGCGAGGCACTTAGTTTAACATTTACGGATTGGTTTACTTGCACACACAATTTATCACAAATAAAGCATATAACTTGGATGGCATAGTTCATCCAACTATGCTTGATGGTTGATTTCTCTTCCCTTCCTCCTCTCCACAATCCACCCCCAGGAAGAAACCACCACCCGAAACACCCTCTCCACCAAACAAAAAAAGAAGAAAATTCCAGTCTTGAATAAGTTCTGATTTGTGTGTCAAACTATTAAGATATACTGTAATCAGTAATTTAGTGCAAAGCAGAAATGGACCATACCCACTACGGCACTACCCCTATAGTATGGCTGAAGCTGGATTTTGGCTGTTGGTTATCCAAATGCAGGGCTCCTAGTCACCAGAGGAATATTATAGTATCAGAGAGATTTTTTTGATCTTTTGCCTCTGACATCATGTATACTCTTTGAGAGTATAATCACATCATGTGAAACATTGATCTCAGATTGATTGAGTGTTGAGGTGACAGACATTCTACTCTTATTAGAAATTATTACTTTTTTATCTCCACCTTGTCATGGACAGGTTTCCCATCTGAAACCTACCTTGTGGTGTGGATGACTCTGTTTGATCTTTATATTGCTTCTATGATAGAACCCATGAGCTTCATTTCACACAAATTTTGGGCTGGTTTTCGTAAACATAGAATTCTCACTAAGCTGATTGGTTAAAATTAGCTTACTTATTTTGTCATGCTTGACTGAGGTGTTAATTTATATGTTTCTTGGTGTAATTTGACTTACATGGAGATGTCTCGTCTTCAATCGTGTAGTAATGTTGCTGCATTCTGTGAATTCCTGTAGGTTATTGCACAAAATCTGTCTGAAGAAGAAATCAAAGGTCTTAAAGCAACGTTCACAAGCATGGACACTGACAGCAGCGGCACCATCACCTACGAAGAATTAAAGACAGGATTAGCTCGCCTTGGGTCAAAGCTGTCAGAATATGAAGTCAAACAACTCATGGAAGCTGTAAGTATTGTGTACCCAATTAGAGTTAGATCCCTTGAACTTCTTGATAATGCCTCACTTCCCTCAGCTGCTTCCGTGGATATGACCATGTATATGTTCTATATATCAGGCTGATGTTGATGGAAGTGGAACAATTGACTACATTGAATTTATTACTGCTACAATGCATAGACACAAACTCGAAAGAGATGAGCATCTGTATAAAGCATTTCAGTATTTTGACAAGGATAACAGCGGGTAAGTTTATTACTTTTTCTTCGCTGATAAAGGTCAAGTTTCTTTTCATGTTCACTCCTAACTGGACCTAGTTGTACATTGTTGAATTCGGAACATTGCAAGAATCTTTTTAGAAAGAAATAGGGGAATAAAAACTGTGCTATCTTCTTGTGGCTGGTTATTGTTATCTTCACCCATACCATGCAGAGTGTTTGGGCTAGTATTTTGTGTGGACATTTTCTTATTTTCATGTTCAATGCATATTTAAACTCGTGAGTGGTTGACCTTTCTTCTGGCAATATATATACTACCTGTTGAATCCTAGTAGTCAATGTGAACTGGATTTAACTGAAAAAAATAAGTTTCCCTGAAAAACCATGAATTAGGACTGCTTTTGGGTCGACGTACTGTTTATGAAGTTCTTATCTTCTGTGGCACGATGATCTGTTGTATTTGTACTTGTCATCTCTTTTATGTTTCAACTGAAAGGTTATTAATTTAATCACTGTTAACGTCATTTCAGCTTTATTTCGAAAGATGAACTGAAATCTGCTATGAAGGAGTATGGAATGGGTGATGAAGCAACAATTAGGGAAATAATTACAGAGGTGGATACAGATAATGTAAGTGATTTTCGAGTTCAAGGCATTACATTTGAAAGTCTTGTGATTTAAATTTTGATGCTGATTCTTTTCCCCTTTATAGGATGGGAATATCGACTATGAGGAGTTTTGTGCAATGATGAGAGGTGGAATTACTCAGCCGGGAAAGCTGTTTTAAATATATTGAAGCACTAATTGCTTACAAGCAGGACAAGCAGGACAAGCAGGAGGATTTTACTACTCACTTCTGCTAAAGCAATTAAACTGTATGTACAAGATAAAAAGCAATCTTGACTAGCCAAGAGTCGTGAGGTACACCGTTGCTATGGGGGAGCGTATTAGAGTGTTCTTTTCTGAAACCAAACAATCAAAATGCAATTTTTGTGCATATTTAGTTCATAGCTTTCATTATCACATTATGTGATATGCTTTTTGTGTTTTTGTATTCACCCTAACATGATATTAATGGGATCTCTTTCAGGAAGATTGTATTCTATTGTGGTTGGAGAAAGGTTTTTTGGGGATTAGGATGCTGATGTTTCGAACTCACAATAGTGTGCAGGGTTGTAAATCAGTTAGAACTCATGGTTATGTTAAAGTATAAATATTTAAGTTATACCCTCTCCAAATTTACGCTTTTGGAGTAAATGGTTATTTTGTATAGTATCAGAGCAGGAGGTCATGTGGTTGCCCAAAATTTAACCTAAAGGGGCATGTTGAAGTATAAATATTTAGGTTATATGCTCTCCAACAGCTTAAGTTTTTGGAGTATAACAACTTATTGTTTCTTTTTGGTTGCTGAAAATGGTCAGGAAAGTGACAAACAGACTTATATTTCGTTCTCATTCAAGCAATATGTCTTAGGTTTGAGTCCGATAATCAATTTTCTAAATGGGTATTAAAGTTATTTTCTTCATAGCTTTGATTGATCCTACTATACGGAGAAGTTTGTTTGTGGATAGCCAGATAATTGAAGGGGTTGTGGTGAACTGAGTGTAAGACCCAAATTTGAACGCCCTATGTCCAAGTTTCATGGTTGTATAAAAGCTGTGTCTAATCAATGCTCGTACCTTTCGGGGTAAGTGTATCTTTCATCATGGTGTCTCTTAGATCTTTCAAGTATTTTTGAGACAACTAAACTTACCCTAGTCAAACCTAAATGAACTCCAGTTCACTAGGGTATTAGGGTAGACATGTCTCAAGGTTTAGCTTAGAATTAGAAGGATGGAATCCAAGGTTTAGCCTCATTTTCATATTCATCTGGCGGAGTTTGCATTTGAGACAAACCATTACAGTAACCATTGCACGTGAGGTTATGTTCTGTTTTGTACCCACTAAGGACATCAGATGCACATGTGCACCTACCTATAATCTATTCTATACCTAGGAAGAGGTGTCATAGACTCTTCAGTCAAGACATACTGCAAGTTCAAACTTTCTTTTAAGTACTAAAATACATCAATTTTGCTGCCATAATGACCACATGTAGGGCATTTCTCTTAATTAAGCATTTCCATTTAAGAGATCTAAACAATACACTCCATTGCAATATGCATAGGTAATCCTAAAATGGTCCAAAGTGATGATGTGCACTCGGAGAAAGAACAAATATAGTGAATCTACGATTATGACTGAAAGAACAAATATAGTGAATCTGCGATTATGACTGAAAGAATAAGAATATTCAAAGTAAAGTTTTTGATGAATAAGAATGTATTTGTAGACTTTCAACGATTACCAACACAATCATTCAAACCAGAGGCACAATCGTTGATAACAGTTGTGTTTGTTGTGGATCCAAACCGAAAATAATGGTTGTCACTGTTGCCCATTGTAACTATCGTCAACCACTTTCTTTACTACCCGTACACGGGAAAACACCGCCGATTCATCTTCACGAGTTCACCGACTTACACAAAGTCCAAACTTTAAAGAATATAGTAGACTCCATTGAAGTCATCCAGTAGCCTTGCATTCATGGCATCTCTTGCCAATATGGAAGAGAGAGGGTTAGAATTCAAGTCCCGATTTATGTACGTGTATGTGTAGTGTATGTTATTAATTTTATAAGTTTTATGCGCCAACAAAACTCGTATTTGTCAGTGATAGAGTTCCAAAAGCTAAGGTATAGTCTAGTCAAAAAACACAACTCTTACCAAGTTTGTGACTTGGATTCAAGCTTCAGTCTTCTTTGTCTCTCAACACGATAACGTATTGATTTTTTCAATCGAGATTCGCATTTTAATCTCACTGTCTCACCATTCTTCTTTCCCTATAACAAGGTATTTACAGATTTTCAATATGGATCCAAGCTTCCATCTACTTTATCCACATGAAACCAATGTCATATATACCACAATGAAAAGAGTAATTGGTTGGTTCCTCCTAGGTAGGTCTCATGTTTCAACACGAATTTTAAGGACATATATCAACTGTTATGATCATGTGAGCATCTGGACTCATAATACTGTCTGAGGCCTCATTGGTTTTGTCTCATTGGGAAAGTTGGAGATGGGAATTGTATTTTATCATGATAATCCATGTATAATATTAATAGCACTAGCCTAGGATGCTCCTAATAATATTATGATTCTTCTTTTTTAATTTTTTTTTTTTTTTATGGAGAGGAGAGGGGACTTAAACCTTTGATCTCAAAAAGACAAAGTCTTCACAAGACAAAAAATACCATTAGGGCAAAGGCCATTGGTGAAACCTTCCTAATAATATTCTGATCCATCCTTGTTTTTAACCAATGTTGCAAGTGGGGATTATTAAACTAATAAGTGAGTTAATAAACCTAACTTGTTGATTAGATTTCCTTAAAAATAGACCAAGAAGCACAAGTTTCAATTCAAGCTAAGCCCCCAAAAAAGGTCTGCCCTTTAACCCTTGGAGTTTACATTGAGTGTTAATTAACCTAGGATTTTTCAGTGTCTTGGTTGGTGGTACTTTTTTACATTGTGTCGGGTATTTTTTTTAGTCATACATTATTATAGGGAAAGAAATAAAAAGGTTTGAACCGCAAAACTTAATGCCTAACACGAGTAAGTCTTAATGTCTACATTTAAGATGGTAACCTTGACTAGTATTTTGTAAGGTGTTCAAAATTGACACCCGAATTTGCCTTTGTGAGAGAGAGCACGTGGCGTTGCATGCCTTGTACGTCGTCGGTGTTGTTTTCCTTTTGTGAAAGCTGAAAACAGAAGACTCCCCATTTTCCGATCACTATCCAGTTCTCCTCTCTCTCTCACACACACACTTATTGATGTGTCGAGGTCATTCGTTTTCTTCTTCTCACACTTCATTACTCTTTTGGCTTCTTGCATCAAGAACAACAGAAAGCTTCAAACTCAAATCTTTTCTCACTCTATAACCGACATTCTTCTCATATAACTTTTCTTTCAACTTCTCTTTTGAACTTCAGACTGTTAATCATCAGTTCACTTCATCTAGTTGATTAACTCGGAAGCTTTTGCCTTTGAAAGTTGAAACCCCCCCTTTCTTCTTCGGGTTTTGCTTCGAACACCAGCATTTGACTACCTCAACACCCCCTATACCCTGCTTTGAGTATTTGATTTCTCCACAAGTTTTTCATGTTGGTAGCTTTTCATTGATTTTTTGGCTTGTGGGTATCGAACAATTTTTTATTAGAAATCATAACTTTTCTTTGATTTTTTGGCTTGTGGGTGTCAATCAATTTTTGCTTAGAATCCAATGGTGAATCTTAAGTCCTGTGCAAGCTTGATCAATGGCTCTGCATTATGTGCAATAGAGCAAGATTTGAAAGCAGAGAATGTTAATGTCATTGCAGAGATTTCAGCCGAGTTACAAAGGGAAAGACAGAAGAATGCAGAGCTTATGAAGAGAATATCAATACTTGAAGCTCAAACACAAGAAAGAGACAAGGACTCCCTGTTCTCAAATAGACAAGTATGATTACACTGCCCATACCCCTTCATGGTTTACCAAGTAGCCTTTTTGCTTTAATTTTAATCTTACTGATTCATTTTATGCTTAGGAACGATTCTTTTCAAAGAATAAATCAAAAATAAATTCTTTTCGAAGATTGTAAAATTTTAATCCGAGGGAGAAATTGGACATAAGAGATTACCATTCTGATGCACACCGAGTTGAACGTCGAAATCCACATGGTAATAGTATATACGTAGTAACGGATAGCTAAGGAATTTTTATTGTGCTGGAATTACAGTATCTAGGCAATTTTAAATGTGGTTTGATGAACACTTTGTTAGAAGGTAGTATTGATTTAATTTTTTTGACAACAGAATTACATTCAGTCTAACTTTCATATTAACATATACAGCTATCAGTCACGTATGCCCATGAAACATGTACGGTTCAAGAATTTACAAAACTTAATCAGTTCGCTAATTTCTTGAAGGATTTGGCACCAGTTATTCCTCATGCTATGGTTGAAGGAGAAGTTCTCTGTCTGGCGTGTGTTTATCAACTGATTTTTAAAAGTCACACAAGACAATTGAAATGAGATGCTGCTGACTTTAGAGGTCATTTTACTAGTGAAGATGCCCTGTAAGATGCATTAAGGCATAATCACGAAGATCACATAAAAGCATGATCAAATGTGTCCAAATTTTCTTTGTTTAAAGAATTCTTTATCATTTTGTTTCTGTGTTAACTTAAACTATTACTGATGTATATTCTTACATTTACTTTTCAGGGTGGTTGTCTTATTGCAAGGAGAAGAGGCTATAAGAAGTTTAAGAGGCAAAAGATAGAACCAAACGAGAAAAAAGGAGACGGAAACATCAAATTGGCGACACTGACAAAGCATGACACGCAATGCCTACAGCTCAAAGACGCAAATGTAGAAAACCACCTTGTCAACTGGATGAGCATGGATGGTGTACAGTTTCTGGATTTTGAAAAAATAAAAGATGGTGCTTTTGCTGCAGATTGTTGTGATGATGAGCATGATGGTTATTTTCATGAGAATGATATTGGCATGGACAAAGATAGAGAAAATGGTGAGAATGTCCGAGTTACTGAATTAGTAGAAGAACGTCTTCCAGAAGATTATGATGGTAAGAGATTAAACTTAGCATGCTTGGAAAGTTCCTATGGAGGTCAGGGTGAACCAAAATTTTCACCGGTGAGCCAAGAAATGAATAAATGTCTGAGCAAAGATGGTTTATCTCATGATGTAAACCCTGTCAATAACAAGATGGAACTTAAAAAGCTCAATGGGAAAGAAACCAAAATGATTGGAGGATGCCGGGAATCATCAAAGATATTTGCTTCTGGGAAGGATGTCGGTGGATTTGGGAGTATGATAACGCAAAAAAAGCTCCCAAAGGTAGCTTTCTGTCCAAAGGAAGTGAAGAGAATAATTGAGTTAAAAGGACTCCTATTGAAGAATGCTCAGTCCCACACCATTAGGAAAATCATAGTATTTGCATCTCTTGGAATAAGGCATGGGTGTGAAGATATGCATGATTTAAACTTCAACCATTTCAGCATTCTAAGGACGGGAGAGCCATATCTGTCTCCGGAGAGTCCTGGGGTAAGCTACCTATTTTGCTAACTCATGACTTTTTAAAAGCTTAGTGGTGTTAAAAACAAGCCTGAATTTCTGATGATTCCAATCTCCATATGCCTTTCTTGCTGCCCAAAGTGGGCAGGGAAATTTCTTCTATGTTTTTGGATTGAAATTCGATTGCCATAATCTTCATTAACTAATCTTTTACTAGGATGAGAATACTATAATGATCTGCACGATTACATTCTCGAGGGACATTCAAATAATGAGTTACCAACTATAGTTTCTAATTTGGTTCTGTTTATCCTTTTTGATGAGTCATAACTTAATCAAGTTCGATTTTAATTCATATGTGCATTCATCAATTATCAGGAGCACGTTCTATATGAGAATCCTGGTCTTCGGAGGAAGGTCTTTTATCCCAACCGACAGAACCCAACATTATGTCCCGTTCAAATACTTGAAGAGGAGAAATCCATGCGTCCATCTGATGCAAGCTGCCCATCATGCTTGTTTCTATGCATCAAATACGGAGGACAGACCAGAAACCTTCCCCAAAATGAGTTCGTACTGTTCATTAATTGATTTGCAACTATTCTTGTATCTAAAAGTTGTGTGTTTGTGAAACCTTGTTTTTCTTGGTCTTTATGCCATCTGGATTTTTAGTTATTACTCTCCAAACCTGGGAGTCTCCTTAGTTGAAAAAAAATAAATTAATTTAATCTATGCAGAGACTTGGTCTTGCAGCCTGCAGGTTTTTATAGATGTATGCCATGGTCTTCTCACTTGCTCTGACCTGAAAGCATCTGGAACCTTCTTTTTGATGTATAATCTGAAAGGTTTTCGTGCTTGAATTGTTTCAGATATGTCAGGCAGCGGATGGGAAGAAACAAGCTGAACTCATTTGGGCCAGTGATATGTCGAATGGCAATGCTTGTTCACATTCGCAGTGGGAGCTTCTTCTTCAAGGCCTTGGGTATCACACTTCTGTTTATGGCGAGTTTTCCCCATGACCTAGTTCAAAGGGAAACCAAACACAGGAACTTGGGCCTCCTTCAAAAGTATTACAGGTACATTGTAATGCACACTTATTGGAATGGATCATTATAGGATGGAGCATGATAAAATTTTGTTGCCAACCTTTTATGAGGACTGTAAGTTGGCAATTTTTTTTTCAGAAAGTAAATTGTAAGTTGTCAATTTGTGGGTCATAGTATTTGTATTTGATGCAGTTAACCCACACGTTAACTCAAAAGTTTGTGACCACTATTGTTTAATCAAATAAGAAAACGATAACGAAGAAGTTTATTGGAACCTTAGAAGTAATGTAAATGATTTGTTGATAACATAGTCATTCTGTTCAGGTGGTGAAAATGGATTCGACTCTTAATTTTTTTAAAGCCAGATTGAGGGCTGTTTCACTTTAAAAACTTGTTATTGCAGGACAGATAAGGATGCTGAAGGGGAGGAATTATTTCTTCCGCGTCCAGTTAATAATGATAATGTAAGATCACAACTCCTAAATCACATACCCAAGTGCTTTTGATGTTTCATTTGTAATAATTGTTGTGGAGTACATAAAGAATGTAAGACAGTGCTGCCATGCAAGTTAGTTAGCCCCATTTTTTTTTCCGAGTTGACCAAGTTGTGCTTCACAAATTCAACAAGAATAATAATGGCTCTACCAAAACTGTTGATATTACATGTCTTTTCCTCAATGTTGTTTGAGTGGTTAAAGCATTACTAAGGATAGACAATAGATCATGATGGTTTAGATCCTAATGGAACCTTGGACTTTTGCTTTGTTTGTTGCAGAGGAAATTAAAAGTTTACTTGCTTTATGTGACAGTTTACATTATCATATTGATAATGATTGCATGCTTTTAGGGTTTAAGTAATTTATAACATGGTAAAATGCCTCTCTGATGGGGCATAATTTCATATTTAAGCCTGGACTAAAGTTCTTCTCATGATTGCAACTCTTTTTATTGATCTTTCAGCATGCTCGTTCCAATTCTCGGCATTCAACTCGGAAGACAAGTTTATCAAAATCAAAAGGCAAGAAACACACAAATTCAGCCAGCAGGCCTACTAAGTCGCAGAAAACCATCCTACAATCTGCCCCTCCATGCTCTGAACCTTATACGCAATTCGGGCTGCTGGGGTATTCCTCAATTCAGACTCCTGCCATGGCAGCATTTCGGTCCATGCCATCTCCGTCTCCAAGAGGCTCCGAGCCAATTTCAAACCCTGTGATCCCAAGTACTGGTTCTAACACCTCCTACCAAAACCAATCTCCATATCCTATGTTCCAACAACATCCAGTAAATTCTTTCATGCCTATGATATTTTGGCATCCTCCTACTGCATTCCCTCCTAGTTCTTACCTATCTTCATATGGATACCAATCTTTTCCTTCTGCTGGAAATTACCTTCCAATCCATCCATATCCCTACAACCATCCCTCATGCATGCCTTTGGTCCCCAGAATGGTAAAAGTCACTGGGAAGGTCAATGCAGCCTCAGAGGAAGCTGACAGCAGCAACTCCAATAGCAGTTCAAGCAGTACAAAATCAAAAGAGCAATGAGTGACGTAAGGAACCACAAGAAATATTGGGATCTTTTTCAATTCATCACCCACTTTAAAAATGATCTTATGTGAGGGACTATACAATTAATTCATTGTTGTACCTCTTCTTTTGCAGCTGGTATATTTACTTGTAGCTGTGAAAATTTCTCCCCAGTTAAGGAATGGTCCTGGAAAGCAAGTAAGCAATTCAATGAAGTCATTTGTGAAGAACACTCCTAATCTTGCAAGGATTGATACTGCTTAGACTACTTAAGATAAGAAAAATGATTATCCTTAAGGCATGAGTGGTCAGTCCCAGAACTGGTTGAAACTTGGGTCATTGAGAGGTCATTTTGGATGGCCTGAACAGGCCCATTGGATGAACCCTATGTTCATCAACTGTTCTGGAAATGGAAAAATGATGTTCAGCAACAAGCAAATCCTATCAACATCAATGCTGACCAATCAATCCAAAAGAATTAGATATTTCATTATCAATTCATGTTGATTCAATAATGCAAATAACTATCCCTCATTGCTTGCCACCTGTTTGGGATTATTTGAAGGATTGGCCCCATCACTCACTCTCTCCCACACCCACACCCACACTTTGTGTGGCATCCTTTTGTCTGGACTTAAGTCACAGGTAATTCTCTACCTACCATAGTAGGGGCAAAATCATAACTGCTTTATGTGAGGGAATCTTATCTTCTAATACACGTCTACTTTGGTTTATGTCACTTATGTCTCTTTGGGGCCCAAAGGGTGTTGTTGATCTGATATTTTCCTTTTATTGGGAGGATGGTTCCTTTTCCATTGAATTACAATCTAAAGATGCAGGCATCATTATTACCACCAAATTATAGAAAAGGGAGAAAGCAAGCACTATGTGCAGGTATTATCAATAATTATGATCATTGCAATTCATGCATCATACACCATCACCTCCTTCCATCCATCCATATATACATACATCTCAACATTAACCATACCCATAACAACACCGACAACAATCCAACAAAACAAGGGGAAACCTAAAACAGGGCATGCAATCAAATATGGTCACCACCATTTGCATGCCACTCTAAAGAACAAGCCAGTATGGCCCACTAGAAAACAAACTCCTCAAAACAAACCCATTTTATTATGTCACTCTTTCTCTCTCCTGCCTCGTAGAAACAAAGAAGAAGAGGTTAAAGAGTTGTAGCAAAGCTTCTAGTGGTGCTTGTTGGCAAGATTGCACTGCTTCCTGATCTCACCCTTTGTTCCAGTGAGAGGATTGTTCTCTGAGAGAAAAGTGATGGCTCTGGAAAACTCCTTAAAGAAGTAGTCTTGGCTCTTAGCCATTTTCTTAACATGGGGCTTGGTCCTCTTGTCAGTGGCTAGTTGGTGGTCCACAAGCATCAAGCCCTTATTGTCCAATATGTTCCTGTAATAGTTATTGTCCAGCTTCATCGGTGTGCCACGGTCATTTCTTACATACTGCACAGCCTTTGGGTCAGGGATGGGGTCTGGGCATTTGTGGAGCATGTGCTCTACATGATTAGGGTTCAGTGCAGGATCCACCTCTGGGTACAAACGGTGAACCAACTTGACACAGTGAGTTCTACCAACACTGTGAGCCCCTATTAATTAAGAACCATAAGAGCAATTGACAAAAAGTTAGGCCTCATTTTTAATTTAATTATCATATGAAGAATTGTTCAAGATGTTCTAAAATTAGACTCACTTTTATAGCAAGTCACAGAGCTGAGTTTATGCGGAGAATGATGTCAGCTAGTGGACTTTGGTGCATGATGAATGTTTGCCACAAATCCACAAATACATTTTAGTCACTATATGCTAATGCATCAATGGCCATTAAGTTATGCAATGAATGACACATGAGGTACAGATATATTATAAACCAACTAGACAGCAAATGTGTAAAGTTAACATGTGTGGTTAAAATGTAAGTAAATAGATTACCTGTCGTTAAAATTTAAAGAGGCAAATTTAGTGTGGTTAAAATGTTAAAATATAAATCATAAGATAAACCGATCCAAACAATCTAAGTTATTGTTGTGTTTTTATCTTTTGCTTTTATTATAGTTATGGATACAAGAGTATGCATAATACATTGATGTATGATGTATTCATACATGAATAGACATGATATACAAGTGCATCAATGACCATTAAGTTTTGGCATAACACATGATAGACTCATGTATGCATGTATGAGCATAATGGATAATGGAAAAGGACATGAGTATACCAAGTAAGGCAACAACTCCGGGGGTGTCTATGCCCATGGCTGCAAACCTCTCAAGAACAACAGACATGCTCTCATTGTGGTCAGGAAGGTATTCTTCAAGTATATCTGCTCTGCTCTTCCTACCATCTCTTCTTCCAGTTTTCAGAGGGATGTAAGGCCCTCCAAGCTGCAAATCAGTTTCAAAATGCATATCAAATTAACATTTTTTTGGGGGGGATGGGGTTTTTTTTTTGGGGGGGGCTAAAGCTAATTTATTATGATCACTGAAACCCACAAATAACCACCCAAAACGGCCAACCTCATGACCCTTTTACATGAATAAAACAAAATTCTGCAACAACCCTTTTGAATTCTTTGGCTTCAAAGTGAAATAGACAAGAATTGGAGTCACCTACTCACACTTGCTTTCGGTATCACATTTATGGACTAAGGATGCTAGTTACCAAACTAAAAAATCAAGCCTAAAACCCAAACTATCAGAACTAAGTATTTTTGGTTCAGATCTAGTGTATACGTACACTAAAGCAGTTCAAATTAAGATAAGAAATTCAGATCTTCTATCAAGTACTATGCAAAAACAGAGAAGATTGAAAAGGAGAAGTGGAAGGAGGTCTCAATTACCGAAACTATGCCATCCCTAGCACTGAGAACAAGGATATCTGAACAGGAAACAACTCCAGGGCACTCTCTCTCAACAGCTTCTTTGATTTCTTCTATGTACCTGAAGTTCCTCATCCCAAAGCTCCTATCCGTCTCCTTCTCAGACAATGTCCTCCTTGTTGAATCCAGCAGCAGTGAAGCATCACATGACTACATTCACACAGCCAACAGAGATATACATAAGATTAATGTAGAGAGAGAGAGAGAGAGATTTACAGGGTGCATACCTGGACAGCACAGTCATGGAAGATATTCCTCAGCCATGAGAATGCAGTATTCTTGTGACGTTTGTAGAGAAGCTTAACTTGTTCTCTGATGATCTCTTCAGCTTGAGGACATGTGTCCTTGTAGAAGTCCATAACAAGACCTGGGTCTGCCTCATTTTCTGCAAAACCAGACACAGCTGAGAAGGCTAAGATGGCCAAGAAGAAGAGAGCTTTGGATCCCATCTCTCTATCTCTCTCTCTCTCTACTCACAAAGGGTCACCGACCTTGCTCTTGGATCACTTGGCTTCTTCTTAAATAATGAAATGAGAGGTAAAAATATGGATAAAGAAATTGAGACTTCTTTTGTAAAATTAAAGCTGCAGTTATGATGTTCGGTGCTTTTTCCTTCTTTACATTTGTAAGTGTACAGCATTTGGCAATTAAAGGGATTAGTCCTCAAATTAGACCGTTTGACTNTTCTTTACATTTGTAAGTGTACAGCATTTGGCAATTAAAGGGATTAGTCCTCAAATTAGACCGTTTGACTACGAATTTTGATAATATTTTGAAGTCGTGTCATTAAAAAATTATTTTTTATAAATATTTTAATTTTGACGTGAATAATTTTTTTTTTAACTGGATTGAGAAGAAAATTAGTCAAAGAGCAATGCTATTGAGACCTAATTTACTAACCTAATTCACTATAACTTTTAGATTGACTATGGATTTCATCAAATATTGAAACTTGGTGTTAATCCAATAGTTTCAATNCTATTGAGACCTAATTTACTAACCTAATTCACTATAACTTTTAGATTGACTATGGATTTCATCAAATATTGAAACTTGGTGTTAATCCAATAGTTTCAATAAAATTACGTCATTAAATCAATAAATTATGTCAAATTTTTAAATCTAAATAACATTTTTCTTAGTCAAAATACGTATAAACTGACACCAACGTCCTAATCATTCAACAAAACAAAATATGCAACATTTATTGCCAAGATTTACACAATTTTTTCCTTCTTGCAACTTTTTTTAGGTAGAACCTGTTGGATCTATCTCTATGCCATGTGGGTTTACTTATTTTGGAAGTTTGAGATTGAATAAGAAATGCTAAAAATAGTTATGGTCCAACAAATTTGCTTATCAAACTAGTATTATCTTAAACAAAAACTCTAAGTTTGTCAGGTAATCAAATTTCACAGGATGCCTAAATAAAATAATTAGTATTTTTTCACCACAGTCCATCGTTGAATCGTTAGATTATGGGTTCGAATTTCACTCTCTCCACTGGATAAAAATTTTAAAATAATAATAATAATAATTAGTATTTGTTGTCAATTTTATAATCCAATTGTGGGTCAAGTCCACTAGATGGCCGCCCATCTGTACGTACATTCATTATCAGAATTTTAAACTTCTTGGATTGAGATCTCAAGGCACCTTTGCCTTGAATCCAATTCTCATTAACTTCACCATTTCTGATCTGGGCACAAAAAAAAAAAAAAAAACCTTTTTCTTCTTTTACTATAAGACTTATCCTTGAAGATTGTCGTATATATGTGAAACAATGACGAAAAATGTTGGTATCAAAAAATTATTTCTCGACACGGTGATTTAAAGGTTCAATGTATAGCAAGAATGCTTAAAACAAGTTGAAATTGCTGTCATTAGTGTTGCTTTTGCTATTTTATTGTTATCTCCGGGGCAGCCCAATAGTATTAAAAAGAGAAATCATAGATTTTAGGCCTCAAATTTTTAAAAGACTCATAACTTTAGATACGTAACTAATTCATGTAAAAAAATTTAAATCCATGATAATTTAAGGTCTTACAAAAAGGCCTCGAAAAATTTAAGTCCGATCAAAAAATTATAATTTCAATAATTTGGGCTTACAATTCAATTCATAACATTAGAAATTCAAAAATCAAAAATTTTAAAAACAAATACAAAAAAATTTAAAAATTAACTCATATTTCTCACATCTATTCTCTCTCTCTTAAAAAAACAAAAACAAAGTTTCACACTCTCACTAAAAAAAAATTAAAAAATATTTTTTATTTTTTAAAAATAATACTAAAAATTAAAAAAAAAATCTCATTTAATATTACTACTTTAGTCCTCACAAATTTTCTTGAACCGCCACCGGTTATCTTTTGTCTTCTTCAAGGAAGACATCACAGAAGTGGATAAGTAACACAACTGTGGAAGCAGCAATATTGAACTTTCCCTTTTTGTTGTCCACACTTGATATTAAATTTGTAAATTCAGACTTTCTAAATTTAAATTTTAAAAATCTTTTGAATCAAGTTATGAGAGATTTATCTCTTATGAATACCCTAGTTTCGACGTGAATGATTTATCTTTGACCAGACAACAAGAAAGAAATTAATCAAAAATACCCATAAACTGACTTTGATATCCCTGACCATTAAACCCCTCCCCCCGAAAAAAAAGAGTTCCAAGAAGTCAAATTTACAGTAATAATATTAGTGATGGATCCTCTTCAAAGGGTTAAAGTGGTCATTTCAACATAGGAGAAATAATGGTGTCAAAAGCATCAATGGATTTAAAAAAAAAAAACACTTAATCTAGCTTTCACAATGTTTAACTTACTAATATGACAACCTGTTAGAGTAGCTCAAATGTGTATGTGGCTTGATTTTTTAATTTCTGCTAGTGGTATGTGAGAACTTTTCATCCATGTAAACATTGAACTGTTAGAAAAATAAAAAAAGAATCATCTTTTTATTAAAATAAGAGATTAAATTACTTTTATTTTGAATGTTTCGGGATATAATACAATGACAAAAGGAAGCATCCAAGCAATTCAATCAATATTTTAGAGCCAATTGGCTTTTCCTTTTTAAGTAACTTATTTTTATTTTGCATAACATATAAAAATGTTCGAATTATTTTACGCGTTTATCAATTAATCTCTTTTTTCGGTTCAATTAAAAATAAATTATCTACGATATAATTAGGATAGTTATGAAGATAATTTCAAGAGATTTAAATTTAAGACGTCTGAATATACATGTCAATCTTGTTATTATTTAAACTACCTTAGAAGTTTGTTCTTGAAGTAAATTATAATCCCATTGTCTATATAACTAGCAACATAGGAAGAACATTAATATTAATAATTAATCAGGTACATGGTCCTTCTTAATCAAAGTGAGTCGAGCCAAGCTTAGGGGTTCGGACTCCCATGGTGACCACCGACACTCTTACGTTGTCCCGCTCTTTTTCTTTTTTTTCTTTTTTTTTTGATGTTCCCACCCCTCGGTTTCCGGGTCAATAGATTTAACAATGGGTTAACCCGAGTAAAAGATTTATTTTTATATAATAAATTTCACTTAAATTCACAATTTATTAAATAAATAAATAAATCTCATTCCGTAAATTGCACATCTGTCATTAAGAGGGGGCAGCTGCACATGTAGTGATGTAAGGTTTTGGACTTTTGGAATTATAGGCCTCTGATATATATTCCTAACTTATCAATCAAGTTGCTATATTTTATGAGACTTTCTATATTTGAATTTAAATAGATTATCTCCCACTTAATGCACAGAGATTTGAGGTGTATGAGTGTGTGATAGAGTAGCGTGCTTATACATTCATTGACTGTCACAATAATATTATCAATATTTTCAACTTCATAAAAAATAGTCCAGTAAAACATACCTAATAGGTATTTCAAGCAGTAATAAAAACGAGTCGTAAATTAATTTGAACACTCTGACTGTTGAACAAAAATAAAAATACCTAAAGAGGGAATAATGTCTTGAATCATATATTTGTAAAGGGGAAGGGGCTTAAATTTGGGTATATAAATTAATTTGTAGCTATAGACTAGACTAATAGTAGAGTGCTCCTCCTTGTTTGGATCTCGACCCCGCCTTTGCAATTATGGGTAAAAATCATAACAATAAAATAATAAAGTACAAAAAAAAATACATGTGTGGAGTTTTTTTTTCAAAACATATTGAGCTTTGGGTGTGTGTATTTATAAATCTTCGCCTGATCCTTACTCTCTTAAAGTAAGTGATTTAGTGTGAATCAAAAAAAATCAAAGTCTTCTCCAAAAAGGGTGTTCGGTGTTGAATTAGAATCTCACACTTTAGGTCGTTAGTTATGGTAATTACGCCAGAGTGTTGGAGGATTAGGCTATCTCACATCCAATAACTTTGAGTGTACATGTGTCTATAAGTTTATACTTGACCCTCACTTTATTAAAGAAAGTGATTAGGTGTCAATTAAAAAAAAATCAATTATACACAAAATATAAGGTAAAGTGACCCATTACTCATAAACACGGCCGCCGACGATTCTAGTGTACGGTAGGGTAGGGGGGATGGGGCCACAAAGATGCACCGACACCTACTTCTCAACGCATCTCTATCCACCAAAACTTCTCTTATTAGTGGTTTAAAATGGTAACTATGGGCTACAATAACGACCCATGCCTCACCAGTACATTTCTATGAATTTCAACGAATTTCAAAATAAGTAATCCATCATTTAAAGAAATTTAAGAGTGAATCCAAACACTTGTAAGACTGCAAGAAGTGCTTAATGTATTGATTTCAATAATCTAACCATTTTTTATATACAATAGGAGGAGGAGAGGAGGAGAAGGTGGGGGGGGAACACCCCATGAACCAAGAACCTATCATCACGACCTCTCTTTTTTCATACCGATAGGGATGTGCTTAATGCCACTTCGCCAACTGGCATTACCCACACTATCACTGGGTGATTCCGAGCATCGAGGTTTACACCCATTCGCATTAGTTCATCCAAAGGTTCTTTACCCTTATGCACAGGGAGGAGGGGAGACGGGGGACCAGGCGCGGACGACACCCCATGAACCAAAACCCCAACACCAAAATTACCATGAACGACAAGCAAAAACAAGAAATAAAGTAAAAAGATAAACAGAACCAGTCCAAGTTATAAAAAATAAAGAGATTGATTAATTCCCTAGAGATTAACCATCATATTATTATAACAGCTTATCAACTTCACTCCTACGAATGAAATTAACGTCAAGTAGAGCAATTAATTCAAATTTCATGTCTCCAAAAAAGGGGCCCAGAAAAGGGTCTTCTACCAAACTGTCCCCACTCATCAATTAATACTAATACCTATACTAATACCTAGACTTGGCATATTTTCCACTGGCTCACTACTACGTTTGGCCTGTTGTCTATAGCAAACCCATCAAACAGGGGTGGAGCTCCTCATCCTCAATGTCCCATTCATTATCGGGTATTTTTTTTTTCTTTTTTTTTTTCGTGGCAAAACTCGAGCGGTGGGAGGAGATTTTGTTTGAATAAAATTTGCAATTGGGTATGGTGGTCACATAGTCAATAAGGAAGAGGCTGAACATGTGTATCAATTAAATGCCTCCATGGACCACCACCATACTTTACTCATGAAGCAGCCTAAGTTAGTATCTTCAAGTAGGATTCCAGTGTAACTGTCACCTTTGAATCTGTTTGCATCTCACATCTGCAACAAGATGGCGTATGTGTGGAGCATACCATTTCACTCTCTCCACATGATCTACTGAGACCTCCCAACAATAACCTGCAAAAACCATTAATTTCGAAGGTATTAAGCACAAATGCCCTCGTACACTCAGTTTGGCCGCTTGTCCTGGATCAACAGTAAATGCAACAAGTCTGTTAGCCATTAGTTGAGGATAGAGTATAGGATGTACCTTCTAACTCAACAATATCAGAGATGGATTTTGAAACATGTTCTGTCCACAGAACCTCCTCCAAGTCCTTCACATTCCCGTGCACATGCAATACCCCACCCTCTCTTCTGCATTATTAGTATTACATGAAAAAAGAGAGAGAGGTGTTGCCGTGTTGGCAATGAATGAGGACAGATTTGAAAGAAAAGGCAGCACTTGTTACAATCAGATATCCCAAGGGGAAGGAAAATTATTAAAAAGACAACAGAGCTGATAAAATGTGAGGACAACAATGAAAGAGAAAGGGGGTGGATAAATAACACTAGATAAAATTAACCAATCAGATATAACTCAACTAAGTGAATCAAAAAAAAAACTAAGGGACCTTGATTTCCAGACAATGGAGCACTAGGTAACTTGTAAAGAATATACCTATGTAGATAATGCTATATGACCCTTGTAAAGAATATACCTATGTAGATAACGCTATATGACCATAAGTAACCATACTCTTGGTTTACCATCTATTATCGTTTCAAATATAAGAAAAAGAGACAATTTCCTGGCCAGACAACAATTTAAGAGAAAGAGACAGAAAAATATGCACCAAAGAAAAATTCAATGGTAACTTAAGCTTCAGCCAAAAAGGATTTCATGAGCAAGAAACTTCAGGTATCAAAACTTTTTGATCTTCTGCTACTAAAATGTAAGGACTTCTGTAGCAGAAAATAAGAAATGGGAAGCTGCCAAAATTCATAAAATCATCAAGATCACGATGTAAGTAACGATCAGATTAAGCACCTTAATGCCCTTACAGCAGTTACCCAACTGCCCTCGCTCGTTGGCAGGAGACCAAGACATACTCTATCAGCGACACCCTGCAAGGAAACAGAGGGAAAATCACTGATGCAAGCTTACTCTTTTCATAGAGCATAAATCATCATCATACTAAGCTACTCTGAACCACTTGGATTCTAATCCAGACATGGAACAATTTAAGTCCCAGTCATTTCATTGGCATTTAGCAAACTATCCAGAATTATTCGGGAGGAAGACTTAAAATGTCGTGCCACTAAAGGAGAGGGAACACCAAAGCACAAAAATTTGAATACAAGCTTCCAAAAGTTAAAAATGCATTCATTGGTCCTGACCTTTTCACGTGGACATTATGAGTTTACTACCACCCATGACCTGTCAGCACGGCATCACAGCAATCATAGGTTTCCTAGGTCTTTATCTTTCAGAGAAAATCTCCGGAAACACAAGAGAAGCCTATTGGAACTAGATCCAGATGGACCAAGTCCCTACAATTTAAGCTAAACCTCACATACCAAGTACCCATGCTTATGAGTCCAAAACATAGATACAAACNAAGTGTACAGCATTTGGCAATTAAAGGGATTAGTCCTCAAATTAGACCGTTTGACTTCGAATTTTGATAATATTTTGAAGTTGTGTCATTAAAAAATTATTTTTTATAAATATTTTAATTTTGACGTGAATAACTTTTTTTTAACTAAATTGAGAAGAAAATTAGTTAAAGAGCAATGCTATTGAGACCTAATTTATTGACCTAATTCACTATAACTTTTGGATTGACTATAGACTTCATCAAATATTGGAACTTGGTGTTAATCCAATAGTTTCAACNTTGAGACCTAATTTATTGACCTAATTCACTATAACTTTTGGATTGACTATAGACTTCATCAAATATTGGAACTTGGTGTTAATCCAATAGTTTCAACAAAATTACGTCATTAAATCAATAAATTATGTCAAATTTTTAAATCTAAATAACATTTTTCTTAGTCAAAATACGTATAAACTGACACCAACGTCCTAATCATTCAACAAAACAAAATATGCAACATTTATTGCCAAGATTTACACAATTTTTAGTTTGTTGGATTTTTTCCTTCTTGCAACTTTTTTTAGGTAGAACCTGTTGGATCTATCTCTATGCCATGTGGATTTACTTATTTTGGAAGTTTGAGATTGAATAAGAAATGCTAAAAATAGTTATGGTCCAACAAATTTGCTTATCAAACTAGTATTATCTTAAACAAAAACTCTAAGTTTGTCAGGTAATCAAATTTCACAGGATGCCTAAATAAAATAATTAGTATTTTTTCACCGCGGTCCATCGTTGAATCGTTAGATTATGGGTTCGAATTTCACTGTCTCCACTGGATAAAAGTTTTAAAAAAATAATAATAATAATTAGCATTTGTTGTCAATTTTATAATCCAATTGTGGGTCAAGTCCACTAGATGGCCGCCCATCCGTACGTACATTCATTATCAGAATTTTAAACTTCTTGGATTGAGATCTCAAGGCACCTTTGCCTTGAATCCAATTCTCATTAACTTCACCATTTCTGATCTGGGCACAAAAAAAAAAAAAAAAAAACCTTTTTCTTCTTTTACTATAAGACTTATCCTTGAAGATTGTCGTATATATGTGAAACAATGACGAAAAATGTTGGTATCAAAAAATTATTTCTCGACACGGTGATTTAAAGGTTCAATGTATAGCAAGAATGCTTAAAACAAGTTGAAATTGCTATCATTAGTGTTGCTTTTGCTATTTTATTGTTATCTCCGGGGCAGCCCAATAGTATTAAAAAGAGAAATCATAGATTTTAGGCCTCAAATTTTTAAAAGACTCATAACTTTAGATACGTAACTAATTCATGTAAAAAAATTTAAATCCATGATAATTTAAGGTCTTACAAAAAGGCCTCGAAAAATTTAAGTCCGATCAAAAAATTATAATTTCAATAATTTGGGCTTACAATTCAATTCATAACATTAGAAATTCAAAAATCAAAAAAAAGAATCATCTTTTTATTAAAATAAGAGATTAAATTACTTTTATTTTGAATGGTTGGGGATATAATACAATGACAAAAGGAAGCATCCAAGCAATTCAATCAATATTTTAGAGCCAATTGGCTTTTCCTTTTAAGTAACTTATTTTTATTTTGCATAACATATAAAAATGTTCGAATTATTTTACGCGTTTATCAATTAATCTCTTTTTTCGGTTCAATTAAAAATAAATTATCTACGATAGAATTAGGATAGTTATGAAGATAATTTCAAGAGATTTAAATTTAAGACGTTTGAATATACATATCAATCTTGTTATTATTTAAACTACCTTAGAAGTTTGTTCTTGAAGTAAATTATAATCCCATTGTCTATATAACTAGCAACATAGGAAGAACGTTAATATTAATAATTAATCAGGTACATGGTCCTTCTTAATCAAAGTGAGTCGAGCCGAGCCAAGCTTAGGGGTTCGGACTCCCATGGTGACCACCGACACTCTTACGTTGTCCCGCTCTTTATATTCTTTTTCTTTTTTTTTATTTTTTTTGATGTTCCCACCCCTCGGTTTCCGGGTCAATAGATTTAACAATGGGTTAACCCGAGTAAAAGATTTATTTTTATATAATAAATTTCACTTAAATTCACAATTTATTAAATAAATAAATAAATCTCATTCCGTAAATTGCACATCTGTCATTAAGAGGGGGCAGCTGCACATGTAGTGATGTAAGGTTTTGGACTTTTGGAATTATATGCCTCTGATATATATTCCTAACTTATCAAATCAAGTTGCTATATTTTATGAGACTTTCTATATTTTAATTTAAATAGATTATCTCCCACTTAATGCCCAGAGATTTGAGGTGTATGAATGTGTGATAGAGTAGCGTGCTTATACATTCATTGACTGTCACAATAATATTATCAATATTTTCAACTTCATAAAATCGAGGTGTCGTACAAGCAACTATAAAATAGTCGAGTAAAACATACCTAATAGGTATTTCAAGCAGTAATAAAAACGAGTCGTAAATTAATCTGAACACTCTGACTGTTGAACAAAAATAAAAATACCTAAAGAGGGAATAATGTCTTGAATCATATATTTGTGAAGGGGAAGGGGCTTAAATTTGGGTATATAAATTAATTTGTAGCCATAGACTAGACTAATAGTAGAGTGCTCCACCTTGTTCTGATCTCGACCGGGGTCGAGATCCAAACCTTTGCAATTATGGGTAAAAATCATAACAATAAAATAATAAAGTACAAAAAAAAATACATGTGTGGAGTTTTTTTTTCAAAACATATTGAGCTTTGGGTGTGTGTATTTATAAATCTCCACCTGATCCTTACTCTCTTAAAATAAGTGATTTAGTGTGAATCAAAAAAATCAAAGTCTTCTCCAAAAAGGGTGTTCGGTGTTGGATTAGAATCTCACACTTTAGGCCGTTAGACCATGTAGTTATGGTGATTACGCCAGAATGTTGGAGGATTAGGCTATCCCACATCCAATAACTTTGAGTGTATATGTGTCTATAAATTTATACTTGGCCCTCACTTTATTAAAGAAAGTGATTAGGTGTCAATTAAAAAAAAATCAATTATACACAAAATATAAGGTAAAGTGACCCATTACTCATAAACACGGCCGCCGACGATTCTAGTGTACGGTAGGGTAGGGGGGATGGGGCCACAAAGATGCACCGACACCTACTTCTCAACGCATCTCTATCCACCAAAACTTCTCTTATTAGTGGTTTAAAATGGTAACTATGGGCTACAATAACGACCCATGCCTCACCAGTACATTTCTATGAATTTCAACGAATTTCAAAATAAGTAATCCATCATTTAAAGAAATTTAAGAGTGAATCCAAACACTTGTAAGACTGCAAGAAGTGCTTAATGTATTGATTTCAATAATCTAACCATTTTTTATATACAATAGGAGGAGGAGAGGAGGAGAAGGTGGGGGGGGAACACCCCATGAACCAAGAACCTATCATCACGACCTCTCTTTTTTCATACCGATAGGGATGTGCTTAATGCCACTTCGCCAACTGGCATTACCCACGCTATCACTGGGTGATTCCGAGCATCGAGGTTTACACCCATTCGCATTAGTTCATCCAAAGGTTCTTTACCCTTATGCACAGGGAGGAGGGGAGACGGGGGGACCAGGCGCGGACTACACCCCATGAACCAAAACCCCAACACCAAAATTACCATGAACGACAAGCAAAAACAAGAAATAAAGTAAAAAGATAAACAGAAGCAGTCCAAGTTAAAAAAAAATAAAGAGATTGATTAATTCCCTAGAGATTAACCATCATATTATTATAACAGCTTATCAACTTCACTCCTACGAATGAAATTAACGTCAAGTAGAGCAATTAATTCAAATTTCATGTCTCCAAAAAAGGGGCCCAGAAAAGGGTCTTCTACCAAACTGTCCCCACTCATCAAATAATACTAATACCTATACTAATACCTAGACTTGGCATATCTTCCACTGGCTCACTACTACGTTTGGCCTGTTGTCTATAGCAAACCCATCAAACAGGGGTGGAGCTCCTCATCCTCAATGTCACATTCACTATCGGGTATTTTTTTTTTCTTTTTTTTTTTCGTGGCAAAACTCGAGCGGTGGGAGGAGATTTTGTTTGAATAAAATTTGCAATTGGGTATGGTGGTCACATAGTCAATAAGGAAGAGGCTGAACATGTGTATCAATTAAATGCCTCCATGGACCACCACCATACTTTACTCATGAAGCAGCCTAAGTTAGTATCTTCAAGTAGGATTCCAGTGTAACTGTCACCTTTGAATCTGTTTGCATCTCACATCTGCAACAAGATGGCGTATGTGTGGAGCATACCATTTCACTCTCTCCACATGATCTACTGAGACCTCCCAACAATAACCTGCAAAAACCATTAATTTCGAAGGTATTAAGCACAAATGCCCTCGTACACTCAGTTTGGCCGCTTGTCCTGGATCAACAGTAAATGCAACAAGTCTGTTAGCCATTAGTTGAGGATAGAGTATAGGATGTACCTTCTAACTCAACAATATCAGAGATGGATTTTGAAACATGTTCTGTCCACAGAACCTCCTCCAAGTCCTTCACATTCCCGTGCACATGCAATACCCCACCCTCTCTTCTGCATTATTAGTATTACATGAAAAAAGAGAGAGAGGTGTTGCCGTGTTGGCAATGAATGAGGACAGATTTGAAAGAAAAGGCAGCACTTGTTACAATCAGATATACCAAGGGGAAGGGAAAAAGACAACAGAGCTNTGTTGGCAATGAATGAGGACAGATTTGAAAGAAAAGGCAGCACTTGTTACAATCAGATATCCCAAGGGGAAGGAAAATTATTAAAAAGACAACAGAGCTGATAAAATGTGAGGACAACAATGAAAGAGAAAGGGGGTGGATAAATAACACTAGATAAAATTAACCAATCAGATATAACTCAACTAAGTGAATCAAAAAAAAAAACTAAGGGACCTTGATTTCCAGACAATGGAGCACTCGGTAACTTGTAAAGAATATACCTATGTAGACAATGCTATATGACCCTTGTAAGAATATACCTATGTAGATAACGCTATATGACCATAAGTAACCATACTCTTGGTTTACCATCTATTATCGTTTCAAATATAAGAAAAAGAGACAATTTCCTGGCCAGACAACAATTTAAGAGAAAGAGACAGAAAAATATGCACCAAAGAAAAATTCAATGGTAACTTAAGCTTCAGCCAAAAAGGATTTCATGAGCAAGAAACTTCAGGTATCAAAACTTTTTGATCTTCTGCTACTAAAATGTAAGGACTTCTGTAGCAGAAAATAAGAAATGGGAAGCTGCCAAAATTCATAAAATCATCAAGATCACGATGCAAGTAACGATCAGATTAAGCACCTTAATGCCCTTACAGCAGTTACCCAACTGCCCTCACTCGTTGGCAGGAGACCAAGACATACTCGATCAGCGACACCCTGCAAGGAAACAGAGGGAAAATCACTGATGCAAGCTTACTCTTTTCATAGAGCATAAATCATCATCATACTAAGCTACTCTGAACCACTTGGATTCTAATCCAAACATGGAACAATTTAAGTCCAAGTCATTTCATTGGCATTTAGCAAACTATCCAGAATTATTCGGGAGGAAGACTTAAAATGTCGTGCCACTAAAGGAGAGGGAACACCAAAGCACAAAAATTTGAATACAAGCTTCCAAAAGTTAAAAATGCATTCATTGGTCCTGACCTTTTCACGTGGACATTATGAGTTTACTACCACCCATGACCTGTCAGCACGGCATCACAGCAATCATAGGTTTCCTAGGTCTTTATCTTTCAGAGAAAATCTCCGGAAACACAAGAGAAGCCTATTGGAACTAGATCCAGATGGACCAAGTCCCTACAATTTAAGCTAAACCTCACATACCAAGTACCCATGCTTATGAGTCCAAAACATAGATACAAACAAAATAATTACAGTTGAAAATTTGATTAAAAATCAAAGCCAAAGGTGCATACTTTAGGAGCTGTGACTCGATTATCTCCTTGAAGTATGATGCAACGATCTGCCACACAATTAGTATGAAGATTATGTTGGAGTGCCTCAACAGCATTGGGATTCCACTCACAAGCATACACCAGTTTTGCATTGGCCCTGGTTCATCGATATTATCAAAATAAAGCATTTGGGAAAACTTAAATTGCACAAGGGAAACCAAGGATGCTTAGTCTTGCAACGTCCTAAGTAATGGCATTGTAAGCAGGTATTCTCCACACAAAAATACACAATATTATGCTTATCTTCCCACTTTGTCAGTAAATCCAGTAAAAGACCAAAGATGAATAAAATAGAAAGGCTTAAGAATGCCATATTAGCATAAATTGTAAAAAAAAATCTTCAGATCCACATGCTAATCAAGTGTATAGATCTGAAAGTGGTGGTTGTACAAATTGCTTGGCAATCCTTTCAATTGAGCAAAATCCCAAGAAAATAAAACAGTACTGCGTATGCGAAAAGGAATTGCAACCCAAAAATTTGGTAACCGAAAAAAGATGCCAGAATGAAATCACAATATACCTGACAAGGAATGGCAATGTAAAGTATCCAATGCCAGCAAACAAATCGACAATAACTTCATCTCTACAGTCAAGACCAGCCATTCGAAGCTTCTCAGAAAGATTGCCCCAGGAGAACATGCACTTGGTGGCATCAAAAGAATATAAAATCCCATTTTCGCGATGCTCAACCCAGCCATTATCTCCTACAAGAATCTCCAAAGTACTGTCCCTCATCCCAGTTGATGCAATTCGGCCCTATACATGATTATATCCCATTAAGAAATCAATTCATTATTAACTAAGGTCCAAGTCTAATTACTGCNGCTCAACCCAGCCATTATCTCCTACAAGAATCTCCAAAGTACTGTCCCTCATCCCAGTTGATACAATTCGGCCCTATACATGATTATATCCCATTAAGAAATCAATTCATTATTAACTAAGGTCCAAGTCTAATTACTGTAAAATCTTTTGTCATACGAACTTTTAGAGAAACTCTATATGTCTTAATTTCAACAAGCCATAATCAAATGATACTTCAGACAAAACATGATATATGATTTTTAAAGTTAGCCTGAACTATTTACAATTTTATTGCAAAGGCAAATCTGTTTGGGCATACAGCAATGGGGATGGCTAGGTAGAAGTTATAGTAACAATAATAGCATTGGCATCATTAATTCCCAACATAAAGAAACTTTGCAATTGATTCAGAACCTGTGGCTTAACAGTCAGAGATCAACAATAATGCATAATAGTATAGCGAAGTACAGCAGAATTCAACAAAGATTACTTTGGCAGGTCTATGCCTTCCGATTATGCATTTCCCTATTTATCCAACATAAACATTTTCGTAATCAAAAGAAAATATTGACTTGAATTCACAAAAGATCACATNCTTAACAGTCAGAGATCAACAATAATGCATAATAGTATAGCGAAGTACAGCAGAATTTGACAAAGATTACTTTGGCAGGTCTATGCCTTCCAATTATGCATTTCCCTACTTATCCAACATAAACATTTTCGTAATCAAAAGAAAATATTGACTTGAATTCACAAAAGATCACAAAACTAGCCACTTTTCGGGATCAAGAACCTCTAAGATTGTGCAAACTACACTCCTTATAAAAGAGAGCCAGCTGTGATATGTATTGAATGCTTAGGTTTTGACCCGAAAGGGAGGGTATAGAACAATACTAGGGCAACAAAATCTATATCCTGGTTACATTATTTTCCCCAGAATTACTGTCCACAACCCATTTGGACATATCACAATATCTACATTCTTTTAAGAGAGCTTGTACCTCACATCAAATAATGAGGACCACCAAGTTTGGTTTATATACTTGAGAGGTCACTCTACACATAGCCAATTAGTTTTGGGTTGGATGCTCTAACATGGTATTAAAGTTGGGTCTTGGATGGTTTGTGGGCCAAGTCCCTTACCCATTTGAATTTTCCAGTATGCATAGTTGTTTGTTTGTTTGTTGANAAATAATGAGGACCACCAAGTTTGGTTTATATACTTGAGAGGTCACTCTACACATAGTCAATTAGTTTTGGGTTGGATGCTCTAACATGGTATTAGAGTTGGGTCTTGGATGGTTTGTGGGCCAAGTCCCTTACCCATTTGAATTTTCCAGTATGCATAGTTGTTTGTTTGTTTGTTGTCCCCAAGTGCGAGCCCAAGTCCCATGTGAGGGAGGGTGTTAACTTGTATCCCACATCGAATAAGAAGGACCAAGTTGGTTTATATACTTGAGGGTCCATAACCAATTGGTTTTAGGTTGGATGCTGTAACACATTCCATATCACATATTCAAACTATGATCACATATTGTTGCATCAAGAACATCCAATAAATTGGAATAATGCAGAGAAGATTAGGATGGCCCTGTGAAAAGATGACACAGNGATGCTGTAACACATTCCATATCACATATTCAAACTATGATCACATATTGTTGCATCGAGAACATCCAATAAATTGGAATAATGCAGAGAAGATTAGGATGGCCCTGTGAAAAGATGACACAGATCAAGAAATCCAAAGTTTGGTAATAACCTAGCATTTGGTAATTGCTTCTTTATTGAATAAAACTAACCTTCTGGGGAACCAATTGTCATTATGCATAGATCAACATAAGATCAAAAATCCATACAAGATTCATCAAGTTTGACTGAAGGAATGATTGAACCACATCAAAGAAAAGAAAGCATTAACAAGCAGGAAATTAGATGTAGTTTTCTATACAAACCTGTCGAGCGAGGCGCTGAATACCAAGTGATTTTGCAACAGCTGGCCAAAGCTCATTTCCAATAGAGTTCCATATTGGATCCTTGAAGGATGTTACTGGAAGCACCACAATATCTCCTAGTCGCTCCCATCTGAGGTGCAAAAAAGATGATGTTGATCTGAAAGTTACAGTGGCACTGGACAAAGCTTTAAAGAATAAATATAGTCATTCTAGAAAATTCTAAACCACCCATGTAAAAACGGTGGACAATTTGTATTTAAGTTAGAATAGGAAACTACAAATATATTATGACAATAATGCTGCCACCAAAGGAACAAAATAATGAAACACAAACCTTGTGGGTAACTGCTCTAAGAGTTGTTCTGGCAGACCTTTCTGCTCTATTAAAGAGGCCACGGCTTCATTCATTAATTTCAAAGGGGAGGTGGAAATTTTTTTGACTTTGACAACCTCATCTACAAGTTTTGTAGCACCACATGCCTTTAGAACATCCAAGGCCATTGAACAAGAGATATTCTTTAATGAAATCTCCTCCTTGTTAAATGCTTCTGGTGGATGAAGGTCGTCCAATCCCTCAAATGCATCTCCCAAGTGATGCTGGTTATTGCGATATTCAGCACAAAACTTTTCCAAAACAGGGAAACAAATATATTTTCCATCTTCCTGGGAGTAAACATTTCTCCCTAGATCCAGCCATCCAAACATTTTCAGTATGTCTTTCCCCAGTTTTGCATATTTTCTTTCAAGTTGTAGAACCCAATGCGAAGCAACAATCAGATGTGCGGCAACTTTTTCCAGTCCTTCAGCCTCAATATTCAAGCCAGGACCTCTGTTTGATGTCTCTTTAATTTTATTCTGCAAAAATTGGAATTCACCATTTTTTGCCTCTGTCACCGCTTTGTCTTGGTAAATAACAAGCTTTTCTTCAATTTCTTTAGGCATAGAACTATCAGCTAAAGATCCATTTTGATAAATGACATGCTTTTCTCCAATTTCAGCAATAATAGAACTATCAGCTATGGACCTTAACAGTTGCAAGTCCATTCTCAATGGTTCACCAAACTTTGTTCCAAATGCGTAACAAGATGCTCCACCACCAATCATTACTAAATCATCACCAACAATATTGGCTGTGCAACGAACAAAAAGATCTTTACCAATAGAATTCACCATGACATGCTTCCAAACATTTAAGCGCATATCAAGTAATGACAACTCTTGATAATGTTGTCTCACGGGACATCCCCCAATGAGGCCAAGGTAGTTCTTATAAACAAAAATTGAGTGAGAAAACCTTGCATATGGCGTTCTTCCAGCCATCTTTTCCTTCTTCCATAGACAAGTTTCAACATCAAAACTGTAAAGGTCTCCTAGTGCTTTCTCGCCGTCATATCCTCCAAACAAATATAGCTGACATCCATATGCAACCAGGGTGTGGGAATGACGGGGGCATGGCCATTCCCNCTTCCATAGACAAGTTTCAACATCAAAACTGTAAAGGTCTCCTAGTGCTTTCTCGCCATCATATCCTCCAAACAAATATAGCTGACATCCATATGCAACCAGGGTGTGGGAATGACGGGGGCATGGCCATTCCTCTTTGATGCATATCTCATTATATTCCAACTTCTGTGTGTCAAGGACATATAAGGAGGAAGAGATAACATTATCGCTAATTCCACCAAAGATATATATTCTCGAACCAACAACGGCTGCTGCATGTCGATGCCTGAAAGTATCAACATTAAATAGATACAATAAGAGAAGATTGATCACCAATTATCACACAGGAAATTGACTAAAATATAAGGGGACTCAAAAACATCATAAAAGAAAACAAAGTTACTTAAATAAAAGGAAAAGGTCCTATTGACCTAGAACTCAAAACCTTTTCTTTTACAAATATCTGAAGTTTCCATGGTCATGCAGATGGGGGAGAAAAGGTAAAGCATTTCAGCAAAATAACATTAAAGCATTTAAGCAAAATAGCCATCAAAGCATTTAAGAAACAAAGACATTACCTAGGCGGAAACACACTGCCACTACAATGTAACAGCCTCCATTCATTCTTTGCTGTATTCAGGACCCAAGCATCATTCAGAATACTCACCGGATCAGTCCTGCCTCCGATAACAAACATAAGATCTCCAACTATAGAAGCCGTGTGACCCAAGCGTGCAGATGGAGTGCCCTGAACATCGATTGCTTCTAATTTACCACTGACTAGATCAAGTAGTAAGGAGTTATTTCTCCGTGCATGTCTTCCCATGCCTCCAAAACCACCAAAAACAAGAATTTTTTGATGTTCTGTGCCATTCAATGTACAAGCAGAGTGACCCCAAAGGAAAAGCTTCTCAACAGGTTCGCCTACAATCATTATCTGTTCCGTTGAGAGACTGATATCAGGAGCTCCCAATGACCCTGCCAATGATCGAAAGATTCAAACTTGCCATCACATTAAGGGAAATTGCCCTGCAATAAAGCATATAGTAGTATGTAAAAATACTGACAATCTATCCCTGTATTCAAAGCAATGGATTAAAGCTTTGTAGAACCTGTCCAACCGAGAGACATTTAGAAAGTATATGCTCTCCTCCAAGCGTCTCAGAGTTGCATCATTTTCTAGTAATAAAAAAAGTTTGATTTTCATATGCATCAGATGAGGACCATGAGGTAGATACTTAGTACTTGAGATCAGGAGTAAATGAATCATCCATTGGCATCTATTTCCTTCCAACAGACACTTCGAGATTGTAATCTCTATTTAGCGGAAACATAAGGGAATCCTTGAAACTAAATTCTACAGTTCTAGTGGAACAAAGCACTCAACTATAATCACCAAGAATAGGTATCCTAAAAATTACAACTGTATAATACTTCACAAGCAGTATTATTTTTAAACTCATAATTGTAAGACGAAAGACGTATAGGATGCAAGAAAATTAAAGCTAAACCAGAAGCAGTGGGAAAGGAGAACTAACTAACACCATTAGGCCACATTTAAGTGGTAATAATCAAGAATATGGGCTGTGGATTTGCCTGAAATGTAAATGAAGCAATAAGTCAATCCTTCCCCACCCCTCCTTTTTCTCCTGCCCCAAACCATACTCCCGAGTTTTTATATACTTGGGCCCGACATTAACAAAACTTTATCATGCAAACGAAGCTAGAATGTGATGAAGGCCAAATTGCTAATAAGATGCCAATTATAGGTATGCTTCCGGCCATAAAAAGTAAAAAATTAAAATTACAATCCCTTAATTTAATTCATTTTGACATCCCAAGCTAACGTATCTCCATCAGAAACAGCTTTATGCAGATGAAATGTATAGGAACATATGAAAGTCTGCGGTAGAAGAAAATTGGATAAAAGCTCAAAATAAGTCCACATCAATCTTCAAGTTTGAGATACCTTCTGATGTGCTTTATTCCTCTAATATACAAATGCCTATTATACCAAAAAAGAAAAATATCCATGCTTAGCATCCCAAGCTAACATCGTTCCAACAAGAGATGTTCAAATGAAGACCAAGTGACCAACAATAGGTGTTCAAGTATATATAGTGTTTGTGGCAGGAGATATTAAAAAAAAAAAAAACGAGGAATGCTACCTAATAAATGCTAAATTATTCACACAACCTTGAGGAGACTGCCCAGAATTTAACCAGAAAACGTCCTACATAGCACACTCCAATAACCCTCAATTATATAAATACAAAGCCCTACAAGAACCTCAACCGTTACTAAGTGGGTAACACAGCATTAGTATCAATTCAGTTCAAACCTCAATCAGAAAATCAATTACCACAATGGGTGGCTTGAGTATATCTCCTTTCAATATCTCTATCATCATCATCATTGTGCAAAGACTCCAACAAAGACTCAGACTTTTCAGCTTCAGGAAAAACCAAACTATCGTTATAGTCCACTTGACTATTTACCAAGTTCTTTTCACCTCTATCCACATTAGTCCCTTTTCCTGTGAAACCATTCTTCAACAATGCTTCAAGGAAATTGTCGGCTCTTCTCCTATTCGCCTCCATCTTTTGGTTTGCAACACCAACAAGGTACTTCACATACTCTGGCGACACCATGATCTTCTGGGTATCTCCCAATGGCACCTCCAACCGTATCGAGCACCGGATTGCGATGATCACTCTTTTGTTCACACCGTTGATGCCAGACTCTCTGAACCCACAAGAAATAGCCAATGAAACCAAAAATTGAGCCGAAGTTAAATCTTTGCATTCAATAGAAATTATCAATGGTTCAAATCTAAATACAAGGTCATGAGTGGACTCGATGACACAGCGAGGCGGCTCTTTGGGGAAGAGGAGGTTGAGAACTGACTCCGGGTCAACTGGGTCGTGTGAGATCAAGACCCATGTGCCTCCTTTGGCCTTTTTCTTAATGGTGGCGGCGGCGGCGGTGGTGGTGGTGGTGGGTTGAGAGAGGATGGAGATACGGCCAGAGCAAGAGCTGGTGGTGAAGTAAGAAGGGTGAGAGTTAAGGGTGTTGAGGAGGGGGATGATTGGTTTGTCAATTGTGCCTTTGGGGGATTTGTCTGGCTCTGGTGAGTTCATGGAGGACAGTGTGTAAGCCTTCCTCTTCTCAAACTCCATTCTCTCTCTCTCTCTCTCTCATTCTCTCTCTCTCTCTCTCACACACACACACAAATTGGCAGAATAACCCCTAAAGCCTCTGATAAACCACTCGGCTGTGGGGGTGGAAATGGGGTTGGGTGAAGTTGGGCTTGAGCCCGTAATCTTCTTCCGAGACTACTTATGGGTCTGAATTTTCAAATAATTCAATAATGACTAAGAACTTTTAATCAATCTTATATTTTTGAACATGTGAAGTAAAGTTTTCTAACTCCTTATCCTTANTGGAAATGGGGTTGGGTGAAGTTGGGCTTGAGCCCGTAATCTTCTTCCGAGACTACTTATGGGTCTGAATTTTCAAATAATTCAATAATGACTAAGAATTTTTAATCAATCTTATATTTTTGAACATGTGAAGTAAAGTTTTCTAACTCCTTATCCTTATAAAATTCCTGTCAACTCTTAACTAATTTTAACCACATTAAAAAAACCATAGACTTTTACCAATTTCTTTCACTCAGATAATTAAATCTACATTTTGAGTATTGATTATGAGACAAGGTGAAAAAAGCACTTGCCACTTGACCGTCCTCCTTTATCAGGGTGGAAAAAATCCTAAATTCATTTCGAACTTTTTCTCCCACCTCTCCCCCTCAATTCTCGATCAAACTTACAACCTCAAGCCATCTTTCTTAGTGGTACGGTACACTATGTAGTCCACGGGCTTTTACCCAAGTCTAAGTTCAAGGACTGCATACCTAAGAATACATTATTGGATTGAAGGCCTGTTGTTGCTGAAATGATGACACTAGCATTATAATGATGACACTTCTTTCCTTGCTGACTAAAGACTCTGAAAACTACGTTTCACCATCCAAAGAGTATGCCATAAAATCAATGAAACTCGATCTCTTTCTCTAATTTCGGTCTTGATTTTAGTTCACAAAGTTGAATGATCTAATTCTTTTTCGGACCCTCATAAGAATTTTTGTACATAGTTCTGCCAAGGATTCTGCAGAACCAAACCATATTAATTTAGTACATTACAGTGTTGGAACCTCGCAGGTACACAGCATGCTGCCTGAAATTTACATAAACTTTTAATGGCTGTACAATAACTTTGCACAGACGGATACATCAGCTCATCAAAGCTAAAACTACTGACAACACTCTGAATTTGGATCATGAGTCACTCGAGGAAGTAAACCTTGAAGTCCAATACTTTTTAATCTCTTCTGCTGTTCTTCCTGGAATTCTTCCAGCAATCAAACACCACCTGCCCCATATTACAAAACAAACTTAGTATCAAATTTTGGTTTCATTTCCATCGACACAACAAAATGTTTCTGTCATTTTTATGTTTTGAGGTGTTTCGAGGTATGCAGGTATGTTTCTGTTAATGCTTTGGAAAAAAAAATTTGCAAACTTTTTCTATGTTTCTCTTTTGTTTCCCAAGCTAACCAAAACTATGGATGGAAACGAAAACTTTAATTCTTGCAACAAACCTCTCTCCAACTAGTCTGAACATCCTGGCTATGAGCATCTCCTCATCCTCAGAGAATTCTAGCTTAGAATCCTCAGTTATTGCCTCTGTAGAAAAGAGCAAATTCAAGATCATTAGGCACACAAATAAAGAAACGGTCTCAATTGCTATAAGGTATAAGAAGCCATGCAAATGCTTACCTTTTTTATCCTTCTTACTGATCTTATCAGAGGTATGGTGACTATGGTCTGATGAGTCTGCCATGTTCCTCCCAAAATTGTTAGGGAGGTTTGGAGAGGGGCTATGGGTTTGCATTGTATATGAGATTTGTGTTACTGTAAACTGGATAAAACTGGTGGTTGCAAGGGGAGGCATGACTGTTTGTTCTGGAAATAGATAGGTTGTTGGAGGATTTATCCTTTTTTTTTTTCTTTTTTTTTTTTTATTTATCCTTATTTGATTGGGCTTTTATATTTAATAATAACAGACACAAATCACCCAACTGGGACAGGTCCAGCTCCTTTACTAATTTATTTGGATTAATACAGGTTATCTTGAAGGTNTCTACATTTTGAGTATTGATTATGAGACAAGGTGAAAAAAGCACTTGCCACTTGACCCGTCCTCTTTTATCAAGGTGGAAAAAATCCTAAATTCATTTCGAACTTTTTCTCCCACCTCTCCCCCTCAATTCTCGATCAAACTTACAACCTCAAGCCATCTTTCTTAGTGGTACGGTACACTATGTAGTCCACGGGCTTTTACCCAAGTCTAAGTTCAAGGACTGCATACCTAAGAATACATTATTGGATTGAAGGCCTGTTGTTGCTGAAATGATGACNCTCTCTCTCTCTCTCTCTCTCTCTATCTATCTAATGCTGTAGATTAGATTATGCCACTATGCTCGTCCTCATCTAGACATACCACTTTGGTTTATGGCTTTATAGCACCACTTTGTTGTTTTGGCCCATAAAGTGTACTTATTCCAATGTTCTTGGGACAACTTAGCTTATTTTTATCACAGCTGTGAAAAGAGGATTTTTATAAAGTGGGTTAAATGTATGTAGCCTTATCTCCATGCGGGTCAATGTTGAACAATCCACCGCCTTCGCTATGCCAATCCGTTAAGAGGCTAACAATACTATGAAAATTATGTTTGTACAGGTATACTAGAAGTTTGGAATTAATCAAAATGTGTCATTTGTTTGGGAAACACAATGACCTGTTGGTTCAAGTTAGCTTACTATAATCTTGGAAGGTGTCACCTAGCTTAAAACTGAAGAACTTTACTAGAATTCTAGGATGGGAAACGATGAAGAATTATATCTGATGATACCTTGAATATGTCCAAGGTTGATTGCATAGAAGACAGTTGGCTTCCACCAAGCATCACTGAGATAACGGCCGTCGCTTATCCAGGCTAAAGGTTCGTAACTATCCCACCACTCACCACAGTCGTTGCCTCATAAAAGCAACCGTTACGAGGAAAAGCAAGGATCTCGCCGAAGATCAAGCGAAGCTCATGATCAACTATGAATAAGAGACATGACCCCCTGCAGAAAATATAAGCAAATGTAGTTTTACTCAACTACTTTCTGTAAAATTCCCCCTTATCAATATATTCCTCAGGAGCAAAAGACTCTTTTAAAAGTGGATTACTCGAGTTTTCGAGCTGGTGAACTACTATAAATCTATTGTGTGAGAATCCCATTTCCCTGATCCTATTCTCAAAAGCCTTGGAGCTCAGACTAAACTATTCAATACACTTGTGTATTCACCACTCTGCTCTGTTGTGTTACGAACTTCATCAATATCCTACTGGCTAGCATAAAACTTGTAGTTGAATTATTGTTCTTGCGAGGCTAAACAAAGTTAAAATAAATGATTTATAGATCTTTCAGATCTTTTGAGATCTACCTATATTAAAGGTCTTTCGTATCTTTCAAGATCTACTTATTAAAAAAGTCAAAAAAAAATGATTTTAGTGCTAACCTTCATTAAAAAAAAAAAAAAGAGAGGATGAATTACACTTTGTATCTAGAAAGATTTAAGAATTCTTATTTTTTACCATTAAAAATTAAATTTCTTACATTATACCCTCAATTTTAAAAATGTTGCAATGTGACAATTCTGTAGTTTTATTACTAACTTCGTCAACGTCAATTAGGTGGGTTTTGAAAGAATAAACATTGAAAACTTATGAAATGACCACATTGTAATATTTTTAATATATTTAGGGTGCAATGTGAAAAGGTATAAAGTGAGAAAATTTAAATCTTTCCGAATCCAAAGTGAGATTCCTCCTTAAAAAATCATTATTGTAACCACACAAGTGCTATTCGGACTGCTCATTACTTAGTCTTTCATGAACGCACTAAACATATTAAGATTGATTGTCATTTTGTGTGTCATCATCTTCACTAGGGCACCATCCATTTTCCTTTTCTGCCTTCAACTATGCAGTTAGCGAATTTCTTTACGAAATCTCATACCATTGCATGTTTTCACATTATTCTTAGTAAACTATTGATGTTCTTTACTACCACATCATAATTTCAAGGAAGGATGTTAGAGAGTTTAACTTATTATTAGTATGAGTATTAGGGGTATTTTAGTCATTCTATTTATTTATGTCTACTATTTTCTCTTACTATATATGTACTTGCAGCCAGTGAAACTCAAATATCTTTGGCAGGTGTTGGGACTAAATTACCCATAATATTAATATTAATAATAAGTTAAACTCTATTGTTGTTTCGGAAGGGGGAACCCAATATAGATCCTCGCTCACAATTATATATGTGGAGCAATAGACATTTTACCAAGGAGGGGTGAATAAATTTTTCAATTCAATGCTCAATTGATTATTAATAAAAATTTGAATTACCACAATTACCTCTTCTTACACAAATTGAACAATGAATAGTGAGAACTCCTTTTAATCACCAGATCTCAACTTAACCATGACAAATGATTTTAATTAATATTCAATTAATTCACTCAACAATTAATCTCACGGCAATCCCAAAAATGCCAAACCAAGTTTGAATACTATGGTTAAATAGATGTCAATCAATCAAATTCACAACACACATAGTGTGCATGTTTACTCACAATCACAAGTGTATACAATAAACAATAAACAACAAACAACACAAGTGATCTGTTGATATGGAAACCCTCCTCAGGAAAAGCCGTAGGGAATCATTCAGGATTCACCAAAGTCTAATTCACTACTCTTTAAATCAACATACAAGTACTTAAGTCTTATACCTCAATCAGTACCATGACTATATGTTTCTCTCTTTATTGTCTCTCCACTAAAGGCCCTCATTCGACTTCTAATGTAGCTTCACTTGGACCTTTCTGCCATCGTACGGTTCGTCTAGGCCTTTAGCAATCATAGACACACCAATGATCTTTGGCGTGCACATACCAATGAGTTTATCAAACCAACAAGATCTTCTTCTCCAAATTGTGAGGTTTAATATAATCACTAATGGTAGCCTTTTGAGTCTTAGGAATTTAGGTGTAGTGGAAGCTCTTAAGGTAGAAAGAAGATTTTCTCTTATATAAATCTCACAAGAGGCTTAATCTAGATGTGGGAAAGTCTCCTCCTATTTATAGGTCCGAAATAAAGGTAGTCTTAATAAATAAATAAATAAACTCAAATTCGTGAACGACCATTCAATTAATGGTAGGGTGGTCATAGGACAGTTGTCGTTGGCATGAAAAACACGTTCCAACCCTAACTAAGGCAAGTACCACTAAGGCAACCATGAGCACCGCTCAAGCAAGCTCATAGAGCGAGCCTTGTGTTGCTTTCGATTGCCTTTTTCCCATTTTTTTCCTTTAAGTCATGAAGAAACCGATCTAGCGAAGACAAGCGAGCATAAATCGATCCCTACAAGTTTTTAAACATAAAATCATACAAAAACTTGTTCTCTTGAGCACTAAAGGGTGCCGCTCAAAGAGAGATTCGATTATAACTTTGTTGCTCCAAAATCTGACAAATTTTGGAGCAATAGACTCAAACTATGTTTTTAAAACTCAAAAATGATTTAGAAAATATTTTCTTTTAAGATCACCTAGGAGTCATAAACGGATTACTTCCAATTCTATTTTTATCATAATCAACCTAGATTAAAAATAACCAAGTTTTCATCTTAAGTGTTTAGATCATTACCTTATCCTAAGCATAAAGGTGCATATGAATGTTGAATGATATTGTTTTGACGTTTGATCTCATCCCTTTAATAACGTTTTCGGATCTTGAACTTTATAACATCATTACTATGAAAAAAAGTTGAAATTTACAATTGACTCCACAAAATTAGTCAATTACAAATATGATCTAACAATCTCTCTTTATTTTAGCAATTTTGTGACAAAATACAAAAAGTTAGAAATTAAGATTACAACTCAAAATCATTGAACAAAAAAATTGTAAATTTAATCTCAATTAGGTTTGGAAAGCACCAAGATAAGTATAGTGCATAAGTATGTATACATCATGCAAGTGCAAATATGTAACATGGTAGAAACTAACTTGTCCAATATGCTTGAAAACTTATTGATCTATCAATATGAAATTCATCAAGTTCTCCCCCTTACTTGGTGTTCATAAGTAAACTAACAAGTGAAAAATAAATAAAGTAAAATATGTGACTTCATGCACAATATGCAAATTTACTCCCCTAGAGTATTTGAACAAACTCCCTTTTTCTATGTTCACATATAACATATCTAGCCTAGTCAAGCGTAAATCTTCCCGATTCCTCTTACATGTACCTAAAATATTCTTTCCCTTTCTGTCACAAATGTCAACCCAATGACAACATGCAACAAGCACGATACAAAATCAAGTTATCCAACATATCCTTATCTTATTTGTTATAAATGTCAAATTAGTGACGACCTATAATAATTATAACATAGAATCATAATATAAGAAGAAGGTATGAATGCATGTCAACTAGTCAAATTTTACAAGTAAACTAAGCAAGGGACGAATGAGGCATATAACTCAAAGTCAAATATGATAGACAATCAAGAATAGGACCGAGAATATGTTACAATAACCAAAATAAGTTAAACAAATAAAAGTTCAACAAAAGATAAAAGTTAATAAATAAATAAAAATTAAGAGTACTTTAGTACATGCCATTAATGAATATAAAACACTTTCAAGCTCACATATGACTTATACTACAGGTTTCCAAAAGTCACAGCTCAAATGGCTACATCTCCACGATCATGTTGGGGAAGCTCTGTATCTAAATCAAATTCATCTGTCATTGGTTCCTCAACGATTTGCTTACCATTGATCAATCTGCATAGTTGACCAACTCTCTCTTGGTAAGAGATCCTAAGACCACCTACTGAGCAGTCTCCATGCTCACAATCCTTCCATCTAATGCATTGAGTCTCTGTGAAGTAAGACGATGGTGCTCCTCCATGCACTGTTGCATCATCGTAAGCATATCAATAATCAATGTTAACTAAGCAACAAGGATATTAGAACTGGGCTATCGTGGTGGTGGTGATGTCCTAGACGTACTAGTCTAAGGATACATTGGTGGTTCTCTTACTACTTCTCCTATCCCTTCAATGTAGTTAGTCTGGGCCTTACTCAACTTTATTGAACTCTTATTCAAAGGCCTCATAGGGTTCTACAACTAGTCACTAGGTAGAACTACAACACCATTCCCTTTACAAATACAGGTAATCAAAAATCCAAAAGGCAATATTTCTTATACTCGTCTCTCTAAAAAGGCTCTATGGATATATCCAAAGATCATCATAAGAAAATCAAGACCAAATCCTTTACCAATTACATAAATTATCTGAGCTCTAAGAACAGAGAAATCTAATACATGGGTAGTTGATTCTACATTGTAGTTAGTTACGAGATTGAGCATCCTGTACTTTGAGGTCAAAGATTTAAAAAAAAAAAAATTAATGTGATCCAATGTGCAGGATAGTCAATGCCATACAACTCGATAGCAACTGGGAAGGAGGTAGTAGGTTTATTGGTCTTGCACGAAATTAGCTAATTACAAATGTAATACTAATTGTTTATCTTAAATTGGTCAAAAAATCTACTTACTATGATAAGTCATGTTTGAATTAAATGAAGAGAATTTAATTTTGAAAATATATCTAAGTAGATATATATTTATTAAGCATTTGACTTTGGTCCTAAGGAAAGTATAATATTGAAATTTATAATTTTTTAGGCTAATACACTAGTTAGAGCAACTCCAACGCTCTCAACAAATGCCATCTTTTAACTATTTTTCTGAGCCAATCCAAAAAATTCCTCTCCAATCGGTTCTCTATTTCACTGGTTAATCTGTCTCCCCTCCTTCTCACTCATTAGTTCTGGCTAGCAAGACTCTCTCTCATCAGGGCTCTCTCCCCCCAATTTTGGGTTGTTCTTCATCAGAGTTTTGCATAAATTTTGGGTTATGCATCAGAACTCGTCTTCATCAGAGTTGTCTTCACTGTGGTTTTATCTTCACCCTAGTATGGATCTCTGTATATATCTCTCTCTCTCTCTCTATGAACTTTTCCGTCTCTAATTTATCTCTTTCCCTCTCAATCCAATCATGTCTTGCTTCAAGGGAAGATACACCGATATTCCCTTCTTTTCTATCTTTCGTTTTTTGTTGTTCTTGTTCTTTTTCGTTTGTGGATACAATATGCTTATGTAGGAAGTCAGATCTTATTTGCAATACTGTTGTTTATACATCATCTGAGTGTTCCAAATTTTAGAATTTTTGATCTGGGTTTGATCAATTTTTCCTTGTTTCGTTGCATATAAAATTTGTACAAATTGGTATTCCAATTTTCAGACCTTCTGTGTTTGTTTGGTTGGTTGATTCCTCTGTCTTTTAAAAGATGATGAATGAATTAGGTTTGTAAAAATCCGATCTTACTTATTTGCCTTTTTCGAAGACGTTTTGATTTTAAAGAGTGACCCTATAGTCATAACATGCTGCTATTCTTTGTAATTGATGAAACACTGTGTAAGCTTGATTGGGGTTAAAATTATGTGATTGAATAAGGGTATTGCATTATATTATTGAAAGTTAATTAAAGTTAATTGAAATAGTTAGTTAAAATAGAAAACGTAGTTGGAGTGAATTTTGAAAAGTGGATAACTAAAATAGAGAATACAATATTTAAATATATTTTGAGTAGCTATTTTATTGAGCGTGGTTGGAGATGCTCTTACAAATACAAAATTAAGATCAATTCTGAAATAATTATACTTTTTTTGGGATTATATTAAAAATTTTACGGTTTCGTCACAAATTTTTAAGGGTCAAATTATAACTTTCGAGAATTTTCACAAATGGATATCAAAATGTTAATATGGATTGTAATTTAAAGACAGTCAATTAATCTTGAAATGTCAAACTATCGAAGACTCCAAACTTAGTACAAACATTAGTAAATCGTACATTGTATTACACAGAAGATTACACGCTTATGGCTCAAATTTTTCGACTCCACGTGCTGTTATCACGAGGAGTCCAAAGTATTAGTACACTGGTACACCTTATTTTTCTCGATTTTCAAATTCAATGGTATTTTTGTTCTGATTATTATATATAAGGTTAATTATAAATTATACTCTGAAAGATCATTCGAATTTTAATTTGTACCATCAAAGATCAAAAATCTCAATTTATNAATTATACTCTGAAAGATCATTCGAATTTTAATTTGTACCATCAAAGATCAAAAATCACAATTTANATATATAAGGTTAATTATAAATTATACTCTGAAAGATCATTCGAATTTTAATTTGTACCATCAAAGATCAAAAATCTCAATTTATATCCTCAAAAATAGAAATTTGTATCAATGTGTACCTCCAAAGATCAAAAATCTCAATTTACACTCTCAAAGATAGAAATTTGTATCAATGTGCACCTCAAAAGATAAAAAATCTCAATTTTACACCCTCAAAGATATAAATTTGTATCAATGTGGACATAAAATTAAATTGATAAATTATACCTAGATCCCTTATGCTGGTCACTTAATCATTTGGACCTCTTCACATTTAGAATATTATTCTTACATCTCATGACGTTTGTGCACATGTAACACGTAACCCATTTTCGTTGATATCTGTTAATATAACCGTTAAAAAATATGATTTTATCCTAATAAAAAATTCTAATTTCATATTACCATTTATTTTATAGGTCCAATATACTATAAAATTCAAAATCAAGCTAACCATTTGAATGTCTAATAGAATAAAAGGTTGCACATTGAGTGATATATTGCATTGGATATAAAAAATATTATATAAATATCTACATTCTTTTGGACATTCAAATGGTAAGTTTGATTTTGAACTTTAGAGTATATCGGATCCACAAAATAAAAGGTAATATGAAATTATAATTTTTTATTAGGATAAAATCATATTTTTTAACAGTTATATTAACATACATCAATAAAAAAGGGTTACGTGTTACACGTGCACAAATGCCATGAGATGTGAGAGTAATATTCTAAATGTGAAGAAGTCCAAATGATTAAATGACCGGCATGAAGAGATCTATGTATAATTTATCAATTTAGTTTTAGATGCACATTGATACAAATTTTTATTTTTAGGGGTGTAAATTAAGATTTTTTATCTTTGGAGGTGTACATTGATACAAATTTCTATCTTTTGCGGATGCAAATTGAGATTTTTTATCTTTGGGGTGTATATTGATACAAATTTCTATCTTTGAGGGTATAAATTANGTAAATTAAGATTTTTTATCTTTGGAGGTGTACATTGATACAAATTTCTATCTTTTGAGGATGCAAATTGAGATTTTTTATCTTTGGGGTGTATATTGATACAAATTTCTATCTTTGAGGGTATAAATTGAAATTTTTGATCTTTAAAGGTATATATTGAGATTTAGACTATCTTTCGGGGTACAAGTTGCAATAAACCCTTATATATATATATATATATATATATGCACAGATACAGAGAGAGAGAGAGAGAGAGAGACGGAAGGAAATAGAGATCGAGCAATCAGAGGGGGATTTTTCAATTGATTCTGTGGTGAAGAACAGACCTTCCAAAACATTCTCAGTAGGCTTCCATGGAGGTCTCTTTGCCAGTGCATAGACCCGTCTGTTCCAAAACTATCTTATTCAGTGACAGAGCTCATTTCAAGATCAAACCTTCTCTTGGGTTCTTTCCACATGGAAGAACTGGGCAATCCTTCCAAGTAAATCTTCTGGTCCTTGCTTGTATGCTTTCATAACATATTAACATCGTGCGTGTGTGTGTATTCTAAGTTCAAAGTTGAGTGGCTGGTTTTTTGATTGATTATGAGCATACCCACATCAATATATGGTTGTATTTTCAGTAGAATTCAAATTCTAATGGCAGTTTTTGATTTGTTGAATAAAATGACGATTAGTGTTTGGTTAAGTAATGTTGCTTTTCGGTTATCTGAGTTGGGTTGTTTATCATAAAAATTTGACACACACAAACACACACAAATGTTTATGATTGGTTCCTGAATCTCATGTTGCTGCGCACTGTATGTATCCTATCTTGTCAATTCATCCAAGGTGAAAACTATTCATAACTTAGGGGTAAAATATGATTAAAGTAATGGTTGGTCTGATTGTTTAATACTTGTTCTCTTCACTGCATTTACCTAATTCTGGACATATTTTGTTAATTGAGCTGTATTTTGAAAAAGTTTTTGTTTTGATACATTCGGCACAGTCTTCTTCATGGTACAAAGATTACTCTGTGGCTGGAATCACTGCAAGTGCGGGTTGGTTTCTTTAATCGACTGCCTCTGATTCGATGTCTTAATTTCTTTTTAAGTACTTAAATTATATTCAACTTTATATGTTTTAGATTTTTCAAGGAGAAGACAGAGGAAATTTTTGACTGCAAGCCCTGAAGACTCTGTGCCAAAAGGGTTTATGCCAAGGACGCAGGTAGGAACAAGCACCCAGAGGAGGGATCAGAAGAATGATGGACAAAAAGAAGGTCCAAGTACTCCCGCGACCAAAGATCTTGCAGGTCCAAATAAGAAAACAATTGAAGTGAAAGTTGAAACAGATCAAAAAGAGTCTGTTGAAATTGAGCAAGCAGAGAAAGTTGAGGAAGAAATTGAAAATGAAATTCATATTGCTAAAGAAAGTCAATTGGCAGAAAAAAGAGGAACTGGTCCAATTGATGAGGATTTGATGGAGTCACAGAAAATGAAAATCAATGCAAAGAGTGTTGGTGGAGATAGTGATAGAATAGCTTTAGAGGGAAAGCACCTGGATATCAGTAAAAGTAATGAAGTAAAACAATGTGAAAGCAATAAGATTGATGTGTCACAGGGAACAACATATACAAAGGGTAACACTGGGGATGCTATTTATAGGACAGAATTAGAAGGAAAGCATGTGGATATTACTAAAGGTGATGACATCACACAGAATAGAAGCGCTGAAATTGATGAGTCACAGAAAGCGTTGAAATCAATGGAACATATTCAGAAGACTGATGTGTCAGTTAGTGAAGAAAAAGCCTTGGAGGAGTCTTATCTAAAGTTAAAGCTGGAGATGGAAGCAGATTTACGACAACAGGAACTGGAGAGGCTTGCCGAGGAGAACTTCTTGAAAGGATACAAACTGTTTTATTATCCCAAGGTGGTAAACCCTGATCAAGATATAGAAGTGTTCCTTAATACTAGCCTCTCCACTTTGCGTAATGAACCTGATGTCATGATCATGGGGGCTTTTAATGACTGGCGATGGAAATCTTTTACCATAAAGCTGAACAAGACTCATCTCAATGGGGATTGGTGGTCTTGTCTGGTTCATGTTCCTAAGGAAGCATACAAGATGGATTTTGTGTTCTTTAATGGAAAAGATGTCTATGACAATAATGACCGTAAAGATTTCTGCATAACTGTGGAAGGGGGAATGGATGTTTTTGAGTTTGAAAATTTCCTGCTTGAGGAGAAACGTAGGGAACTTGATAAACTTGCTGAGGAGCAAGCTGAAAGAGAAAGACAAGCTGAAGAACAAAGGCGAATAGAAGCAGAGAATGCAGCAAGAGAAGCTGATAGAGCACAGGCGAGAGAGGAGGCTGGAAAGAGACGGGGAATGTTGCAAGAGTTGATGAAGAAGGCTGTGACATCCCTTGATAATGTCTGGTACATAGAGCCTAGCAACTTCAAAGGTGAGGACATGGTGAGGATATATTACAACAGAAACTCTGGTCCACTTACTCATCTAAAGGACATATGGATTCATGGAGGGTATAATAATTGGAAAGATGGGTTATCTATCGCTGCAAGACTTGTCAGCTCGGACATAAAGGATGGAGACTGGTGGTATGCTGATGGTACGCATGAAGATAAAACTCAGTTACCTGACAATGTTTGATATTATTTTTAGTACTTGAGTAACGATTCAAGTGTTATTACAGTGGCATAAATTATACTGTAGTGGATATGCAGGATGCTGCATTTGGGAAAAACAATGTGTAAATGATTTTCAGCAGCTTGTTTAAAGGTTTTGTTGAGTTGAATCAAGCTTTTGATATAGGATGCAATTGAAATGCAATTGACATTAGTATTGAATTAGGACTAATTAATTTATCCTTACTTTATAGTTGTTCGGGGAAGGCCAGGTTGGAATCATGCCAGCATTAATGTTGGAGTTGTCTATACAAAATTATAGTTGGCTTGAGCATCATGAGATTTGGTAATTGATATTTTCCTTATCTTGGACGCCTGGAAGCTGTCAACTTGCATCCTGATACTGGACCATCATTAACATTCTAGGCCCGTTACAAGTTAACGGATGAAAATACTGTGGAAGCCACACAAATCTTACTAACTTCTATTCTGTTTTGAAATTGTCATGTTGCTTGTTCTTTTTTCAGTGGATCTGTATTTCTTATTTCTTATTTTATTTGATTGTAATTGTAGGTTGTCATTTACTCCTTCGTTTTGAAAATTCCTGTTTAAATGATATTGTTGAGTGCTAGCAAGTATTTTAACAAATTTTTGTAAGCTCATTTTTAATTTGGCTATTGGTGTTGGTATAACTTTACAGTAGTGACTACATACCTGTTATGCTAGGCTTTGAATTTCTTGACATATCAGAGAAACTAATATAAATAAACTAAGGTACTTCAGTACTTGAGAGTTGAGATGCCCTAGCCAAATTAATATGTATGCTTTATTTCAATTCTAGTTGTTGAATTATATTTTCCTTCATAAAAGGATAGTTATTAGCTTTGCGGGATGTATTCGGAACATTCACTGCTCTAATTGCATTGCCATTGCCCAATGGATTGATTCACCCATAGTTTTTCATCAAATGTTGAAGTTTCTAACGTCACCACACAAAAGCAGGTGATGAAGTGAACGTTTGTGTGTATCCTCCTCCTCACTCCCAAAAGTATTGATCATAAAATCCCTCTTTTCATAGATATTCCCATCGTTTTTCAACTAATAACAGAGTGTCACAGCTTATGCTATGAATGTCAAGAAAGCATATCAATATTTCTTATCAAAAATATTGAGTATAGGTTCTCCCATAAGCATAATGGAGGCACTTCTTTTCTTGCTAAATGTGATGATTTGAAGTAACTGCTCAAGTATTGTTTTTTTTAGATAAAAATGTATATGTGATTATCTTAATTGAGAATATATAGATTGCCTCATCAACCTATATTCTTCAAATTAGGGAGATATGCCAGATGATAGTGATCTTCTTATAGCATTGTTAGTAAATATTTATAACTTATAAGTTCATACACTATGTATATATATTGATTTTCCTTCTTCCACTCCATTACAAGTTGTGTGATAGCTTTTACCTGAGCAACCACTTGGTGTTCTCCAGTTGTTGTACCTGATCGAGCCCTTGTCTTGGATTGGGTTTTTGCTGACGGCCCACCACAGCATGCCTCTGTCTATGACAACAATTGTCGCCAAGATTTCCATGCTATTGTGCCAATCTGCATTCCTGAAGAACTGTACTGGGTTGAGGAAGAACACCAGATATATAAAAAACTTCAAGAGGATAGAAGGTTAAGGGAGGAGGCTATACATGCCAAGGTCAGTTATTGATAGTGAAATTACTTTTAGAGCTCCTTACTGCAAGTTGGTGCATAATCATTCAAAATTAATACCTGGGATTTCTGTTTCTTTTGGGGAATTATTGGTTCACCAATTTCAGCTTTGCTTGAGAGAACTTTGAATCTCTGTTGCTTGTCATCCCCCCCCTTTCCCTTTTTCCCTCTTTCTCTCCACATTTTATTATTGTTCTCATTTTATTGACAGGCTGAAAGAACAGCACGCATGAAAGCTGAAACAAAGGAAAGGACTTTGAAAATCTTTCTGTTGTCTCAAAAGCACATAGTCTATACCGAGCCTCTCAATGTTCGAGCAGGAAGCACTGTGACAGTTTTCTATAATCCTGCCAACACCGTGCTAAATGGAAAACCCGAAATTTGGTTTAGATGCTCGTTTAACCGTTGGACCCACCGAATGGGTACCTTGCCACCTCAGAAAATGTTGCCTGCAGAATATGGCTCTCATGTCAAAGCCACTGGTGAGGTTTTCAGTTGTTTAATACTAATATGGATACAATCTCGGGTTTTAAATGGCACTAATGTCATGAGATTTTACAAGCCAAATTTCTGAACAGCTTTGGAGTGTAAGATCTCATTGCCCTTAATGCGATTGCCATTAATATTCAAATGGTTATGTATGCCCGACTAACGATGATTGTTGTTCAATCACATTTTTGTTTAGAGCCATGGGCTCTTATTGTCCAAGCATTATGAGTTTCTAAGGGAAGTGGATAAATGATTTTTCAGTGAACTTTTGGTTGAGCTATTCAGAGCTATATCTTGCCATCTGCTCTTGTCATGGCCTCTGCATTACCATCGATGTTATCTGTCCATGTACATAAATTAACATTTAGTTGATAGAGTTATTAACCTATTTCATTTGTTAGAGGGGTAAATTTTTTATAAATATGCTCTTTGGCAGTCAAGGTTCCATTAGATGCATATATGATGGACTTTGTATTCTCCGAGAGGGAAGATGGTGGAATTTTTGACAACAAAAATGGTATGGACTACCACTTACCTGTATTTGGAGGAGTTGTAAAGGAACCACCAATGCACATTGTCCATATTGCTGTTGAAATGGCACCCATTGCAAAGGTAAACTTTGGTCAGTGGGCTGCTCTACTTTATGATTATTCACAGTGTTACGAGTTTATGGTTCTTTTAACTCCTACTATTTCAAATTAGAAAAAGTATTTTGACTTATCAGAGGAAAATAAACAAAATATTTTGATTATTTGACAATATGTTCTGTGAGTTGAGCAAGTGGAGGGCAGATGTTGAATTGGTCATTAGAATATACATGAACCAAATTCTCAGAGGTAATGTTTATTACCAAAAGGAATTTGATAGCCAATGCTTAGAGGGAGTGTGGCTCTGGTTTATGGGTGATGGTTTTGGTGTACTTATCACAGCATCTATTTTGTGGACAACCAAAGAACAATTTTAATGGATGATACTACCACAAACATCTTGGAAGTGGGATAGTGTTTGGGCCAGTTATGTTGAGTAATCCTACTTTTGACAATGTGAGAAAAAATAAAAATTGATTCCATGAGAAGAAAATAGCAAAAGAAATACATATTTATTGTTAACGGAGTAGATAGATTTGAAAACAAATTAAATTGACAATTACTAGAACTTCAACTAAAGTTAGACTTGGAGCAAATTAGATGTTCCTCTTTGCTTGCTGCAAGTTATTATTGTTCTGTGTGGCCCTTTACGGTAATATATAGCTAGAAACTAGTGTTTCAGATAGTTCCTGGTAGACAATTTGCTTAATGTTCAATGACCTGACGTTTCTTCATTTAATTTGAGCTAAAACAAGTGTAGAGAGCAAGTGTACTGGTACAGGTCATGGATATGGGGATAGCATTGTTTTTCTTTTTTTTGGCTTTTCGTTGCTAAACTTTGTTGTCTCCACGAAATTAGTGTCCTCTCTGTTTCTGTATTTCTATCTTTTGTTCTAGTTAGTTAGTTATATTTATTCAAAACTTTATTGAGTTTTTTGGTTCTTTATAATTGGAAGGTCTCCTTTTTCTCGTGAACTCCCAAAGATAGGATACATCTGAATATTATTTATTGTTTTGATAGTAATTACAGCACATGTTGCTGAATGCACTAGTTGGGTTTTCTGAACCTCGATGACAAAGAATAGATTAATTAAAAGATAAAGAAATGGAGTTACTGACATGCTTGGTATCTGAGAAAATAAAGCGGAAGGGAAGGCAGCCCAATATATAACTTCAAATATTTGACATCGACTCCCATAACTACTTCTGAAATGATGAAAAAATTATGTGCTATGGAAATAGGGTGTAGCAATCTTTATCTCAAAGAACATCTTTGTTAAATAATGAAATATCAGCTATAGATAGCTTTGACATAAGCCATCTGTTGATAACTTGTGTACCATTGTCCTTTTGTGCCAGGGTCAAATATCATATAATATCTAAGTTATATAAAATTCTATTACATTCTGTTATGTTTATTTTTTTGGCAGGTGGGAGGCCTTGGTGATGTTGTCACTAGTCTTTCACGCGCTGTTCAGGATTTAAACCACAATGTTGATATCATCCTTCCAAAGTATGACTGTTTGAGGTTTAACAATGTAAGCCTCAGTTCTTGTTCTCATTTTTCTGCATCTTATCATATTTCTTGTCCAGGGTTTTAATGCTGCAAAAGAGAGACGCTGTCTGTTAGTCCTTGGTATGTAAGTATGGCTGTTTGTTGGGAGTCACATGGGACACGTGAGCTGTTCCCTCTAGAACTTAGTAGAAAAACCAAACTATAGCATGAGCCCACAAGACTGCTTGTTAGCTCCCCACCCCTGGTTTGGTACTTATGAAATCATTGATGGCCATATTACTGGAAAATCGTTACATTAGTTTTTGAGTATTGAGTACAATGGAGAGACAAGATTCATGTAGCCGACCCAAATCATTGGGATTAAGTCTTTGTTGAGTTGAGTTGTAGTCACATTTGTTCATGAATGTTAACCTGTGCAGCTTCCTTTAGGGTATCTATACTATTAAAACATTGAAGAGAATACCTTCTTTGGGCTTCTCTGGGGCATGTAGTTGTGCATTCTATAAATTAAACATGCTGTATTTTTCAGATTTTGCTCTTTTATCTAGCGAGTATAAGTGATGAATTTCTATTTCCTGCAGTTGTTTGAACCAGTGGCCTGTTCATTTTGTTGGAGTTATAGCAGCCTAGTTTATTAGGGCTCTTTTTCCATTTTTTACCTTTATTATGAATTTTATATTTTGCCTAGATCACAAGAATGTTTAGGCACTTTGTAATATTATTTGACTATATATACGGGGCTCTACTCTTAGTTTAAGTATTTCTTTTTATTCACGTTTGTTCCAAGTTGGTATTAGGCAACAACCCTAACCCTAGCCCCTCGTCCACGTTGCAGCCACCAGCCACCAGACTGCTGCCACACCAACACCAAACCAATAGCCAGCAAACCGACTGCATCTAACCAGCGAACCACCGACAGCAACAACTCCTCACCTGCAGCACCGACATCAGTACTCCACCAAACCAGCAGCACTGAAACCGACTGCCCAAACCACCGACAACCTCTGCCATAAACCCATACCAGTCCACCACTGATAAACCCATCCACTAATAAACACATACCAGCCAACCAAACCCAGCAGCACCGAAACTAACTGCCCAAACCACCGACAACCTCTGCCATAAACCCATACCAGTCCACCACCGATAAACCCATCCACTAATAAACACATACCAGTTCATCTCTGATAAATTCCATACTACCGACAGCCCCATAACACCCCTGCTTGATCAAGCAAAATCGACAGCAGCCAAGAACATATACCACCCTGCCCACTCCATCGACAGCATTACATCAACCCAGCGAATATTCCAACTATACCCAACGACAAAATCAGCAGCAAAACATTACCCAACCCAACCCAGACCAGCCTAGCCACCTAGCCCACTGCACACCAGCGACCCACTGCCCAACTTAACCCAGACCAGCCTAGCCACTGCAGACCACCTAGGCTACTGCTGGATCACTGCCTAGCCCACTCATCAGCCCATTGTCAGGTCGTGTTTTTCGTTATAGCTTTGTCCTGTGCCCTCTTCGTCATAGTGCTTCCAAGTTGTAGAATCTAGGACTTTTTTAGGAGGGAGCAGATCCTCTTCTCTGTTGATTTGTTTTTGATGCAGTAGATCACTTATATATTTCTTTGATTTCTGAGCACCATGACCTGATTGTTTGGGGGTTCTCTGGACCTTCTTTATCTGTTGCTATTGTTCAACTTGAGGTCCCTTTATTTATCTTAGAGTCATTTTTTCTATCACGGGTGTTCTAGTATTGTTGTTGATATGACTACTACTGAGGGACATGAGAAACGTACTGTTGACACCTCTACCGTTGAGACGTCTATTAGTACTTCAATTTTTATGTTTGACCAGTAGATAGTACCTACTAGCACAGTTGCACTATCAACAATGCTGGATATGATCTCTCAGAAAGTTATGTCAGAGTTGTTGAATGGTCGTAACTTCGCTGAGTGGTCTCACTCATTCCAGCTTTTCTTAGGTCGTGTAGGGAAACTTGGTTGGCTGACAAAATCTCACCCAAAGCCAGCTCATGACGACCCTGGATATTCTGCGTGGTTCTCTGCGAACTGCGCTATTTTTAGATGGTTATTTGGCTCAATGGAGCCATCTCAAGACGAGGATTTTGTGTTTATGAGCTTTCTCAGGAGCTCTCATATGCTCGGCAAGGAGATATGACTGTTCAGGATTATTATGGTTATTTGACCCAGCGTTGGTTTGAGTATGAGATTCTATGTCCTCTTGTTGTTATTCTGAGAATAGAGCTTGAAGGAGTAACATTCTTGCATACTCGAGAGCAAGAGGATAGGATTCACAAGTTCTTTATGGGGTTTCGTGATGAGTTTGAGGGGTTTCGTTCTCAGATCTTGTCGATGTTGAGGCTTCCTTCTTTTTATGAGGTGTATGCGATGATTGAGCAGCATGAGTACCGTTTTCGTATTGCATCACTTCCAGTTGCGGCCTTGACTCCTTTGGCTGACTAGATGGCCCTTGCAGCTGCTACAAGGTTTCGTATAGAATCCTCAGTCAAGGGTGGACAGNTGAGTTTGAGGGGTTTCGTTCTCAGATCTTGTCGATGTTGAGGCTTCCTTCTTTTTATGAGGTGTATGCGATGATTGAGCAACATGAGTACCGTTTTCGTATTGCATCACTTCCAGTTGCGGCCTTGACTCATTTGGCTGACTAGATGGCCCTTGCAGCTGCTACAAGGTTTCGTATAGAATCCTCAGTCAAGGGTGGACAACACTTGGACCAATGCCGTCAAGGTGTCCCAGATCAGCGTAGACATGGGGATTCTTGTCAGTGTGATTATTGTGGTCGACAGGACATCTCAGGACTGCTTGTTGGAAGCTCCATTCGGAGCTTAAGCCATCTCCTCGTGGTTGTACTACTACTATTGCTGAGGTCCCACGACCTATTGCCGTTACTCTTGCTGTTGCTCCTCCCTGGCAGAGTGACATGGATGCTATCACTTTCCGATTGGATATACTTATGTCCGTTTTGATTTCTCAGGATCTGACTATTGCTACTATCACCACTACAGGTATACCTCGTGCATTTCATACTTGTGTTAGTCTGTCTTCCCTTTGGATGCTGGACTCGGGTTCGAATGGTCATATAACAGGTGAGACCCATCACTTCATCACTTTTGATGAGCAATTACATACACAGGTTCATCTAGCAGATGAGACAAGTGCCACTATTGTTAGTAGGGATACAGTCCACCTCCCAGATAGATTTACATTACATTCGATTTTTCATGCACCAAAGCTGGCCATAAATCTATTATCTGTACATCAGTTAGCCAGAGTTTTTTACTGTGCAATTGTTTTCTTATCTGATTCGTGTTATTTGCAGGACTTGAGTACGAAGAGAATTATTATCAGGGGATATGAGACAGATGAACTGTATCATCTAGGCGATCCACCTCTAGTTTCACCAGTTCCTTCACCTGCACTTGCTTTGCCTTTATCTGTTCCTAGCTTACATGCTAGTATTTTACCTAATACTTGTCGTTATAATTTTTTTCACAAACTATTCAGTTGTGGCATGACCGCTTTGGGCATATAAGTTTCAAATATTTATGTATGTTATTTCCTGCTTTAAGCAATGTTTGTATTGGTGGTAAAGTTGACTGTGTTATATATTCCCTATCGAAATATGTTCGGACCAGTTATATTCTTTGTATGCACCAGTCACCCAAACTATTTGACCTAATACACTCTGGTATTTGGGGACCCTTTCCTGTTACTGCTCTATTAGGTGCCCGATGCTATGTGACATTTATAGATGACCATATCCGTTGTACTTGGATTTACCTTTTTTGCATAGAAAGTCTGATGTCCTTCCTGTCATCACTCAGTTTCTCCAGATGATTAAGATACAATTCGATGTCATTATTCGTACTCTTTGTTCGGATAATGCCAAAGAATATGTGTGTGATGCCTTAGTGTCTCACCTTTCTTTTCAGGGTATGCTTCAGCAGCTCACTTATTCATATACTCCTGAGCAAAATGGAGCTACTGAAAGGAAAAATAGGAGTTTGATAGGGATGGTACATTGTATGCTTAGAGGTATGGGGGTACCAAAATTTTATTGGTTTTTTTGTTGTTTTGACTTTTACCTTTTTGTGTAATCGTACACTGAGTTGTGTTCTTCAACATAAGGCTCCCTTACAGGTCTTATTCCCTGAGCAGACANATTGGTTTTTTTGTTGTTTTGACTTTTACCTTTTTGTGTAATCGTACACTGAGTTGTGTTCTTCAACATAAGGCTCCCTTACAGGTCTTATTCCTTTTTTTCGGTCCCCCCTCGTGTTTTTTGGCTGCACATATTTTGTTCAGGATCGGTCTCCTACTAGCCATAAACTTGATGATAAAGCAATTTGTTGTATCTTTGTGGGTTATTGTCATCAGTCTAAGGGGTATCGGTGTTATGATCCTGTCAGGTGACGTATGTCTCACAGTCTAGATATTACCTTTTTTGAGCATATTCTTTATTTTTCTTCTAGTCCTGTGTCTGCCCCTCCAATTGATAATACTCCCTTTGTTTTTTCGGTACCATAAGAGCCAGAGCCATTAGTCACTATCACTACAAATTCATCAGTCTCTCCTCTAGAGCCACTCATCCCTGTCAGTACTAAATCACCAGTCTCTCTTCTTTTGTAGGTTTATGTTCGTCGCCCTCGCTCTTATTCCTCTACTGATATCTCCTCTACCTTAGGCGATGCAGGTAATATTTCTCAGTTCGTTGAGCATATTGATACACCTATTGTTAGTACTGATGAGATTGCGAGCCAGTTATTTTATCTAATGAGATATTGTCAGTGGAGGATGATGATTTAGGACGTCGTTATCCGCGGCGTGATCGCTGTCCAATTGTTCATTATGGTTGGACTGTCAGGACTTTATATCCGATCTTTGCTTATGTGATGATCTTTTTCCTACATTTTGAGCTTATAGTATGGTCTTATTAGATACGTCGGTTTCTCGCTCTGTTTCAAAGGTTATACGGGAGCCCCAGTGGGTTCTTGCTATGCAGACGGAGATGAATGCTCTTCAGTGTAATCTTATGTGGGATCTTGTCCCTTTACCTTAAGGGGTGAAGCCTATTGACTATCGCTTGGTTTACACCCTGAAGTTTCTTGCGGATAGTACTATTGATCGTCACAAAACTAGGCTTGTGGCGAAGGGCTTTACTCAGGTACTAGGTCGTGATTTTGGTACTATCTTTGCCCCTGTGACAAAATTGACTACTGTTCAATTGATTATTTCTCTGACTGCGGAGTATTCTTGGCCTCCTCATCAGTTGGATGTGAAGAATACATTTTTTCACGGTGATCTGGACGAGATTATTTATATGAATGTACCACTTAATTTTCGTGGTGAGGGGGAGTATGTTGGAAAGGTATGTCGATTGTGTAAATCTCTTTATGGACTGAAACAGTCACCACGAGCTTGGTTTTCTTGTTTTAGTGGTGTAGTACATTTAGGGTTCACCAGATATCATTCTGATCATACCTGCTTCATTCGATAGAATACTTCTGGATGGTGTGTCATCCTTTTGATATATGTTGATGATATTATTATTACGGGAGATGATGTTTTTGGAACTGCGCAGGTCAAGGTAGACCTTGGGAAGGCCTTCGATGTGAAGGATATTGAATTTCTGTGATATTTTTTGGGATATTATTCTTTTTCAGAGAAAGTATGTTCTGGATCTTCTCTTAGACACTGGGATGCTGGGTTACAAATTGGCATCATCACCTATGATTCCAAACCTGAAACTTNTTCAGAGAAAGTATGTTCTGGATCTTCTCTTAGACACTGGGATGCTGGGTTACAAATCGGCATCATCACCTATGATTCCAAACCTGAAACTTACTACTGAAGGTGAGGAGTTGAGAGATCCGACTGTCTATCAGAGGTTGGTAGGTAGACTTATCTACCTAATCAACACTAGACCAGACATTTCATTCGCTGTCAGCCGAATTAGTCAGTTCATGCACACAGATCATGTCAGCTTCATCTTGATGCTGTTTATCATATCTTTCAGTACCTTAAGTCTTATCCTAGTCTTGGGTTGTTCTATGCATTAGGATCTTAGACCGGTTCTCTAGCTTGTTATTCAGATTCAGATTATGGGGGAGCGTGTGATGGTCGATCTACTACAGGCTTCTGTGCTTTTCGAGAGGCTTATCTTATCTCTTGGAAGAGTAAGAAGCAGTCAGTTGTCTTTCGCTCGTCAGCAGAGATAGAGTATCGGACACTGACATTTGACACTTGTGAGATTATTTGGCTACGATCAATTCTTGGCGAGTTGGGATTTTCAGTGACTTCTTCATCTACATTATATTGTGATAATCGATCTGCTATTCAACTCGCTTCTGACTCTGTATTACATGAGAGGATGAAACATATAGAGATCGATGTTCACTTTCTTCGGTAGTGTCACTCCATCGTTTGTGGGGATTAGTGATCAGGTTGCAGATGTTTTCACCAAACCTGTCACTCAATCCATTCTTCAGGACTCCGTTGTCAAGCTTAACTTAGTTAACATTTTTGCGCCTAGCTTGAGGGTGAGTGTTGGAGTTATAGTAGCCTAGTTTATTAGGGCACTTTTTACCTTTTTTTACCCTTATAATGATTTTTATATTTTGCCTAGATCATAAGAATGTTTAGGTCACTTTGTAATATTATTTGGCTATATATATGGGGCTCTACTCTTAGTTTGAGTATCCCTTTTTATTCACGTTTGTTCCAAGTCATTTCAATGCACCTTTGACCTGCAGTGTTTACATGTGTTCTACTGGAGGTGAAGATGTCCACTTGAGCAGATTAATTGGGTTGAGTCCCAACTGGGAAACTTTTGGGCTGCATAATGCCAATCTGGTTGATGATTGAGATTATCTAGTTGGTTTCAATTTTGGTAAAATAGTTTACTAATTACTGAGGCTTTCTTTGATGGGCATTAGGCATCACATTCCTGGCCAATCTCCCCACATACTATCTGAAGTTATTTTATCACAGAGCCGCACAACTCTTGGTGTTCTGATGTTTTAAAACCATATAGGCAACTTAGCTGAAAGGTGGTTGTTACTATCTGAAATTTGGTAATGTGAGATCACAATATTTTTCCTTATTATTTGAAATATTAAACATGAATTTTGATAGCTTTAAACCAAATTTCTTTTTAAGGATTTTACATTTCAGTTCACTGATATATATGTGTTGAGATAGGTAAAGGACTTTCAGTTTCATAAAAGCTACTTCTGGGGTGGGACTGAGATAAAAGTTTGGTTTGGGAAGGTGGAAGGACTTTCTGTCTACTTTTTGGACCCTCAAAACGGGTAAGTAGTACTCCTGCTGCACCCTCAGTATGTTTATGCGGAATTTGATTTCTTTTCTGGAAGTTTATTACTCAAGGTTATGGCTGTACTTTTCTAGTCATCTGCTATGCACATATATAGATTACTTACATAGTGGCTGTTAACTTTATTCTTAAAGTGATTGAAGAGATGATGCAAGAGTTTTAGCTTATAGGGAGACTGATTTTTCTCAATCCAGTTCCACTCTTATTTTCACAAGCAGGGTGATCTGGAATACAACTTCTCATTCTGTATATTCAACTATTTGGGAGACCAATTCATTGCCTTAGTGTGTCTTTAAGACACTGCATGGACCAAATTATTGCAGGCTTTCGGTATGATGAGATAGCTGTGTCCTTCATTCACTTGTTGCCTTAGGAAGGTTTGCCAGTATCATGCCTGAAACTCTAAAGTTTACCCTTGAAAAATTATATACTCCACACATCCTCCCATGCATTTGAGTTCTTTTTTTCCCCAAAATTGTAGGAAAGAAACAGAAATGTGGTGGGTCAGGCCAACTTCTGACAATTGTGCTTAATTTCATTAGCTTTGAGGGATGGCAAGCTGGATGGGATCGTACTCACTTTGTCATGATAGTAGTCTTACATTTTTTCACACGTGTTATCAGCTTTTGCATAAACACAAAAAGTAATGGAAAGATCATGGTGCATTCAAAGACCAAATCTGATAGCTATGAGCTGAGCTTGCATCAAATCATATGGTTTTGACCTAAGTTCTTTTTCCCCCTCTTGAACTCACCGCCAATTTCTTTTGGGAGGACCTGTGGGGGTGCACGTAAAGCAATTTTGTCTCCTTGTATATGTGAGGTACACTACCACCTAATAGCAAAAGGATTCACATTACATTAACCTACAAACTCTAGAATATGCAGTCTAGCTACAGATAAGGGAGGGTGCACCACATAAAGTATCACCAAACCATTCATGAACTTTTAGAAATTAATCATTTGTTGTCTTGTTGCATTCCTATTGAAGATTGTGTCACAAATGATTTGCTGTTACTGTCAGCGACAAAGTTGTAAACCAAGAAAAGGTGTTATGTATAGGTCAAACTGTACCACTCTTGTTTCCTATATTTTTTGGCTGTGCAGTCCAATTGTACTTATTGTTAGAGTCTGACCAACCTGAATCCTGTGACTGAAGTTGTAATATTTATCAAACAGAACCATTCAAATGATCTTTAAATTTCCATATGCACACAGTGATTTATTATGAGGATGGCACAACAAATCCATTGTCACAGGTTGTTGTAATTGTAACTAAATATCTACTTTTATCTTCTCCTGGCAGATTCTTTTCGGCTGGGTGCATCTATGGTTGTAGGAATGATGGGGAAAGATTTGGTTTCTTTTGTCACGCTGCTCTTGAATTTCTTCTTCAAAGTGGATTTCATCCTGTAAGTTTTAGACAAATTATGTCCCACTTATTTAACTTCAACATATTTCTGTTCATTCATTTGCAAGCAGAATTATTAAAACCAGAGTTTAAAATATACATCTTTCATGCATGGAACCTGGAGAGTATATAAGATATCTTATGCCATCCATCATTTTTGGCCCCCTGTTGTTCTGTAAGCCATACATTGTTATGTGTCTATTTTATGTGAGGATGGTGTCGGTTGTTGTCATATGCATGTAGGCAGCACTAAATAGAACAATTGGATTAACATCCATTAAATAAAACACAGTAAAATAAAGCACTTCATTTTCCTTGCATGGAAACCTGAACATAGTATTATTTTTCTGGTGGTCTTGTTTAACCCTAAGAATGACCATTCATTTATCGGATATTGTCACACAAGCACATGTAGACATGAATATACTTGAATTCGTTTTCGTTAACACTTACTGCTATAATATACTTATTTTCAACCATACGTGTTGTTTTGTATATTACAGGATATTATCCATTGCCATGATTGGACTAGTGCTCCAGTTGCTTGGTTATTTAAGGAGCATTATATGCATTATGGTCTTAGTAAAGCTCGAGTTGTCTTCACTATTCATAACCTTGAATTTGGGGCACCCCTCATTGGGAAAGCAATGGCATACTCAGACAAGGCTACAACTGTTAGTGCTTACGACATTCTTTTGAAGATTTCATATCTTTAGTTCTTGTAGAAGTTGTTACTTTTTATTCCAGTTAAAGTTTCATTTCTTTTAGAATTAGAGAAGCTGCAATTACCACCATTGCAGAAGCAATATCCTATTTCATGGCCTTTTAACATGTAATTAATTCCTGTTTAAACCTTCAGGTTTCACCCAATTACTCACAGGAGGTTTCTGGAAACTCTGCCATTGCTCCTCATCTTTACAAGTTCCATGGTATATTAAATGGAATTGACCCAGATATCTGGGATCCATATAATGATAAATTCATTCCCGTGAGTAGTTCCTCTTCTGTCTGTTTCTGTCAATTTATTACATTAGGAGGATCAAATTAAAGTCATAAACTTGTTGCCATCTTACATAATGTTTATTATTTCCTGCTGTTTAGGAATTGGTCTTTATAGCATACTGTTTGAATGTCTCCATGTGGAAATAGAATGCGAGATGAAATCGATCCCATCTGCTCCTAAATTTGATGGGCATATTGAACTTCCCAGGAATCAGATCAATAGGATTATGACCAAGGATCAAAAATGCGTTTCAGTGTATAGTTTTTTTGGTCAGCTTGAAACAGAAACATTTCAGGAACACAGTGAAAACAGAGGCAAAATTTGGAAATGTGGAAACTGATGGAAACGTAAATCAAAATCTCTTCATTTATATAGATAAGCTTAATTATAGATTAATTGAGCATGTTTATTCTTTTAACATCCATTTTATACAAGAAAACATTAAGTTGGAGAAGAAAAAAAGGTTAAAGGTGAAAGTTATTTCAACTTATGTCTAACACTTCATTTTCGTCAAACAACACAACTACCGGATATTAAGGTCTCAAAACACAAATGAAGTGCACATGGATATCATTTGAATGAATACATAGTACAAAACTGTGTCCGTTCTGTTCGGAAACGTGATGAGAACAAAGAAAAACATTGAAAATTTATTTACGAAACATTTCAAAAGATGGGTTGAGAATATAATTGAACATACTGGAACACATTGAAACATACCGAAACACTTTGAAACGTAAGGATTTTGATATTCAATACCTGATTCGTTTCGGTATCCGTGAAAGCAGAATTGTTTTACCTGTTTCTAAACGAAGTTTAGTTCCTTGATTATGACACCTAATAAATGCCTCTTTTCTTGGTTTCTTTCTTATTGCTGATGGTGAATTACCCTTATCTATCAACTTTTTAGGCAATTATGTATCAAAGAACTGTTGAGACTAGAAGGGTGGGGGTGGCATATTGTATATTACCATCCTGTCCTATTTTCTACAATATTTTTGAATCAATTCCACATAGATACAGATTTAAGTTTACAATTGGTTGGTGATTCATCACACACCTCACCCTTGTTCTTTTCTTCCAAAGCATCTGTGGCTCATATTTACCCATGTTAGTACAGGTGTCATACACTTCAGAAAATGTTGTTGAAGGCAAAAGGGCAGCCAAGGAAGCCTTGCAACAGAGACTTGGTTTAAAAAGTGCCGATCTGCCTTTGGTAGGAATTATCACTCGCTTAACTCATCAGAAAGGAATCCACCTCATCAAACATGCCATCTGGCGCACCCTGGAACGCAATGGGCAGGTTGTTTTGCTTATATTCTCTTGTTCAAGGGGTGAAAGGCAACCTCATGTAACAGTCTGCCTATGATTGTACAATTCTTGCATTACTCTCCACATGGCATCTAATCAAATATATGATAGACCAAACTTCTTAACAGTGGGATAGAAAGAAACCAATACTCTCTCTCTCTCTCTCTCTATATGTATATATATATATATAGAGAGAGAGAGAGTGTAAGTTTTCAGCCGTGGATGTCATGCGCGTGTGATGNCCAAACTTCTTAACAGTGGGATAGAAAGAAACCAATACTCTCTCTCTCTCTCTCTCTCTCTATATGTATATATATATATAGAGAGAGAGAGAGAGTGTAAGTTTTCAGCCATGGATGTCATGCGTGTGTGATATTATGCTTGTGAAGAACACAACAGCTCTATATCACGGGCATTTATGGATAACTCCTGCTATCTTCAGTTTATTTTACATTGTTACATTGGGAAGCAATTGATATACCACTATTCTCTTGTCTTTGCTGACTGAAAGGTGTTGGCAGGTTGTATTGCTGGGTTCAGCTCCAGATCCTCGCATTCAAAACGATTTTGTTAATTTGTCCAATCAGTTGCATTCTTCACATAATGACCGTGCACGTCTCTGTTTGACCTATGACGAGCCTCTTTCTCACTTGGTATTCTCTTAGGGAACTTACGATTCTGCACTTTTTGGATCCATATTCCCTTCTGACATCTGCAATGTGGCTCTTTTACTTACTGATTCATTAACATATCATTGTAGATATATGCTGGTGCAGATTTCATTTTAGTCCCTTCCATATTTGAGCCATGTGGACTAACTCAACTCACAGCAATGAGATATGGTTCAATACCTGTTGTTCGTAGAACTGGAGGTGCGAAGATGCATGTTTTTTGGCTGGTTTTTCTTAGTGAGAGAGAGCAATGTCTTAAACAATATTTCTGGAGTCACTGCTAAAACAATTTGTCACTTGGATGGCAACTTATAATTGTGGTGATAGTATGTCTTGTTGAAGCTGCTATAATAGGAGTGCTTCATTTTTAATTATATTATCCTTTCATGAACTGCCTTTCCACCTCTAATTGGCGTCGTGTTTGAGTAAAACCATCGATACCACTTTCTCAACTGAAAATTAGTTTGTTCTTGTTACATTTCCTTAATTTTAGGACATGAGTTCTTCATGCTAGTTAATCCCCACTTTAATGAGTATAATGGTGAGTACAATTTTCATGAAGCATGTGAATTCCTTTCTCCACCTACGCATCTGCCCACCCATCTCAAAATAAAATAAAAATTGATGAATTGTTTTTTAATTGATGATTTCTGTCATTTTACCCAAATTTCTGAAACAAAAGTTGTTTGTTTTTTAATTGACCTAGAGTTTAGCAAATGTCCCTTGTAAGTACGCCTTTTAGGCACATCATGAGTGTACTAGTTGCGATGTTAAAAAACACACAATTAACTTGGGGTTTCTTTTCTGGAAACAAATGAAATATGCATATTCATATATACATCTTTTCACATTGAACCAAGGAGTCACCAGCACTCTCTCACACTTTCACAATTTGGTTTCTGCTTTGTGGAGTTATTGTCAATTAAGTTTCTGCAGTGGGCCTCTCCTGTATGTCGTTATTTCACCATTGTTCTTCCTGTAGGACTCTACGATACTGTATTTGACGTAGACAACGATAAAGAGAGAGCACAGGCACAAGGTTTTGAGCCAAATGGATTTAACTTTGATGGAGCTGATGCTGCTGGGGTTGATTATGCTCTTAATAGGTGAGTAGACCTAAGTTTGAGTGATGAAGCTTCTACAACGTGTTTGTCTGCTTGATTGATAGTTCAATGTTTTTCCTTTTATTTTTAAAAGAATTCCAAACACTCTTGTTACTTCGTTTCTTCTGAATCTATGATTGGTGGAAAAAACAGAAAATAATGAAGCGACCCTCAACCCCAAGTGATACCTGTGCCTCATAGCTTTTTAATTGTACCCTCTTTTTCATGGAGTCTATTCAGGAAACCCGTCTTTTCGTTAATTGTATTTTTTAATCTGGACTTTCTGCTTGTCAAAAAGAAACTACGAAGGCTTTCCTCTAATTCTCTTCACTTTAGATTTTTTCCCATGTTGCTCTATGCTGAATGCTGTATTTCCATTGGATACAATCACCAAATATTAAATCCAGTCCTGGAGATGCTTGGTTCATTTCCATTATTTTAGATGTTAATCAACTTATCAAGGGCTCATATGTTCTATTTTCAGAGCAATCTCTGCTTGGTATGATGGACGGGATTGGTTTAACTCACTATGCAAGCTCGTGATGGAGCAAGATTGGTCTTGGAACCGGCCTGCTCTTGATTATTTGGAGCTCTACCATGCAGCTCGAAAATGAGAATAAGAAATTGAGGTACAGTTGGGGTTAGGAAAAGTGATACAAGTTTACCATGTCGGACATTTTGTACAGTTTTAGTGATAGGTCATAAGTGATACAAGTTTACCATGTCGGACATTTTGTACAGTTTTAGTGATAGGTCATTGTCTAGTTTTGATTCCATCAAAATGCTAATGTAGCAGCATATAATGTAATTCAATTTCAAATTTGAATAAGGGTATAACTAATCCATTTTTGTCATTTTTTGTGTAGCATCAAATAATGTAAGTATTGCTAGACTGAGTAATAATTCCAATCATGACAGTTCTTGCCTCTAAAACAAGATAAAGAGATGAAAAAGATGTAGCTGGAGATTTTGATTTATTCTTATTATGGAGATTTGATATTAAGGAAAAACATGTGAGACCAGGATTTTTTTGGCAATCTCGATTTCATCTTGGTTACTCTGGCAGCTGCAGTGCTGTATAAACATGTAGCTCAGGTGTACATATATCTGTAACAGGATGAGATTTTTGGACTGGTGCATGGAAGGGTTTCGATAATATTGAGTTTTTATTTTTTTCCATTAAGGAGATGATCAGGTATGAAGCATTAGTGGGTTTCATTAGCTGAGTCCAAGACTACCACCACTGAAGGATCCCAAATTGGTTCCAGTAGCTGAGTTTCGTGCACGGACCCTCGAGCATGATAGTTGGAGATGAGCAGAATCAAGGCCTAAAAAACAAACTGGTATAGTATTAGCTTGGGGATTGGTAGGTGGTTCTTCTAGGCTTGTTGAAAGTTTTTCCCTTCTTTCTATACTCTTATTACCATGTTACTGAACTGTCGTCCCCATCAACACAGTGGAGTAATGTGTTTACTTTTGTTCAAGTGAGCATAAATAACATCAAATAACATAGGTGGTTAAAGTTTCCAGTTGAATCTTTGGCATTAAGCACGAACTTTAAGTTGCATTAAGGTCTCAAGTTATGTCACTATTGTCTCGGTAATAATATGATGCTTGATCAGTTGGAAAAACTTTGTAAGTTGCTGACTTGAAGTATGAAGTTCGACTCCGAAAAGAGAGTCCTAGTTTACGAAATGTGCATGGTTTATGTGTCTTGCTTATACCCCGAGTTTATATTGTAATTATGATTAAAGTGCTTTGATTATATAAATTTTTTTATGCATGGTCTTAGTGGCTGTAAAGCTTTGCATTATCTTTGGCTGAAATTGAAGCAACCAGCAGTTGTAGAAATGATAGTTTTGTGACCTTGTGGGGCTGGTGACTGGTGTGTAGTGGTGTTCGACTGTGGCTAGATGGGATTTGGGAAGCATATTCAGTGGAGAACCTGGCCATTGGCTTTAGATATGAGATATCCCACTTATCTTCAGCAAGTGAGGTTGGGATAAAGAAAATGGTACATGAGTGCTTATATGCTATCTTGTCAATTCAACCCAAATGATTTCATTTTGGGTGATTGCAAAAGGTTCATCATTGCACATGCTGATTAGGATGATTGGATAAGACTATAAAAAAAGTGTTTATGGTATCTTACCGAATTAAATTGGTAGACTCTTTTACAAAAGTGGAAGATTCGTTTGTAATTTGCTCTCTTGCTAGAGTAGGTATGCACGGATTTGGATTGCCTAAGTAGATAAAAGGCATGAAACTAGTGATTCCTTTGTGATCTTGTCTTTCTACTATAGAAGGATCATCGCAAGGATTAGGGTTTCTGACTCGTGGATATAGGCTAATGCTATGCCTAAAAATAAGCATTTGATGAATGCTCGGGCCTTGAGATTACTTAATATCTTTAGTAGGTTTAAGCTTATACACAGTAGTTATGCGCCAAGAAATTATTAGTTATGTGCTTAACACATGTAAGTCGGACTACGTTTTAGATTAATCTGGTTCATCTTATCAAAAATTGATTTGTTTGTTGACATTGTTCATGAAAATAATAGTATAAAGTGAAATAATAAAATTAAGAACTTTATGTGTATAATATTCTTATTGGTTAAAAAAGAGGTAAGATATTGATAATTTTTTAATACCATAGTTGGAACATAGATGATTTGATGAGCTAGTACTTTGCCTTTTCAGTTTCTTACTTGGACATGTACTGCCCAATCTAAACATAGCAGTGACCAAGTTAAAAAATCAAATTCAATTCTAGGCTTAAATTGAATGGCCTCTTTGAATGAACCACTTGAATTTTCCTCAATACACATCAATCACTAGTATTAATGTGTGACAAAAGGTGGTGCTCAATATATCAAATTAAAGAAAACAAAGGTTAGGTATAAACATCAAAGGTGGAGTGCGCTCATGGTTTGTATGTGAATTATTTAACATGTACGTGTATGTATGTATGTATGTATGTATGTAAAAGAAACAGGTTAGTGCACTAATACCAGAAAGAAAAGTGTATTAGTCAAAGTTATCTTCAGTAGTATCCTTATGCTGTGTTTGGTAGGACGGATAGAAAATTAGAAGGATTAAAAGTGGAATGATAAAAAAAATATAAATTCACATTTTACCAATAGATCTATATATAAAATTAATGTAACACAATATGTAATGGATAAATATAGATTCTATATTAAAGGGTATATAGATAAATAACATAAATATAAATATACATAATTAACTTTTTATTCACTTTTTTTTTTAATTTTGNGTGTTTATGGTATCTTACCGAATTAAATTGGTAGACTCTTTTACAAAAGTGGAAGATCCGTTTGTAATTTGCTTTCTTGCTAGAGTAGGTATGCACGGATTCGGATTGCCTAAGTAGATAAAAGGCATGAAACTAGTGATTCTTTTGTGATCTTGTCTTCCTACTATAGAAGGATCATCGCAAGGATTAGGGTTTCTGACTCGTGGATATAGGCTAATGCTATGCCTAAAAATAAGCATTTGATGAATGCTCGGGCCTTGAGATTACTTAATATCTTTAGTAGGTTTAAGCTTATACACAGTAGTTATGCGCCAAGAAATTATTAGTTATGTGCTTAACACATGTAAGTCGGACTACGTTTTAGATTAATCTGGTTCATCTTATCAAAAATTGATTNAGTGTAAGAAGTGAATTAAAGTTAGGGACTTGACTACATTAGCTGAGGAAAAATTTCGGTACCGTTACTCTAATTTTTATTAGTTTAATAATTTTTTTATAATTTTCAAGGATTATTTTACAATAATTTTTTTTATCACTTTTGTTTATATTTTTATCACTTTGTAGGTAATTTATCATATTTATGGGTGTTTTTACCATATTTATGGATGTTTTTATTATTGTTGTNTTAAGAACTTTATGTGTATAATATTCTTATTGGTTAAAAAAGAGGTAAGATATTGATAATTTTTTAATACCATAGTTGGAACATAGATGATTTGATGAGCTAGTACTTTGCCTTTTCAGTTTCTTACTTGGACATGTACTGCCCAATCTAAACATAGCAGTGACCAAGTTAAAAAATCAAATTCAATTCTAGGCTTAAATTGAATGGCCTCTTTGAATGAACCACTTGAATTTTCCTCAATACACATCAATCACTAGTATTAATGTGTGACAAAAGGTGGTGCTCAATATATCAAATTAAAGAAAACAAAGGTTAGGTATAAACATCAAAGGTGGAGTGCGCTCATGGTTTGTATGTGAATTATTTAACATGTACGTGTATGTATGTATGTATGTATGTAAAAGAAACAGGTTAGTGCACTAATACCAGAAAGAAAAGTGTATTAGTCAAAGTTATCTTCAGTAGTATCCTTATGCTGTGTTTGGTAGGACGGATAGAAAATTAGAAGGATTAAAAGTGGAATGATAAAAAAAATATAAATTCACATTTTACCAATAGATCTATATATAAAATTAATGTAACACAATATGTAATGGATAAATATAGATTCTATATTAAAGGGTATATAGATAAATAACATAAATATAAATATACATAATTAACTTTTTATTCACTTTTTTTTTTAATTTTGGAAGAATTGATTTTGGTGAGTTGAAACGAAAGTTAATTCATCAACTTTTTCATTATTTATATATATTTTTATTAAACATGATATTTTATTTATCCCTATAACTTTTCATTCTTTTAGCTTTTCAACTCTCCGTTTTTCTTTTTAACCGAACAAAGCATAAGAAATGTAGTGATACAATGCATGATGACAACAATGATGTTGAAAATTTACAAAAATGCTTTTGTAACAAAGTGTAAGAAGTGAATTAAAGTTAGGGACTTGACTACATTAGCTGAGGAAAAATTTCGGTACCGTTACTCTAATTTTTATTAGTTTAATAATTTTTTTATAATTTTCAAGGATTATTTTACAATAATTTTTTTTATCACTTTTGTTTATATTTTTATCACTTTGTAGGTAATTTATCATATTTATGGGTGTTTTTACCATATTTATGGATGTTTTTATTATTGTTGTGGGAATTATTTTTATTATTTTTTAGGTATCACAATAATAATAAAAGTACTCACAAATATAATAAAAACAATCACACAAGTTATAAAAGGAGGAATAATATTGAATTTTTTTTCCCCACACCATAGTCAAAGAAAAAATAATCGTGGCACGTCAAAGAAAGCTCTCGTTTTCACTAAAAAAACAATATCTATATAATAAAGTATAATACAATTCAAATCGCAAACGATAAATAAAATGACTTTTACTTTTCATGGTTGAGATATATTTAAATTTTACTTTAAAATTAATCCGACGACTAATATTAATACCTTAAATTTAATAAATAAAATATCCTCTTAAGAATGTTTTTGATGTAATTTTTAAATGTGCTTCTAGAACTTATAACTTCTCATAACCTCATAAGTATTTTAATAAAAAATAANCAGTAGTATCCTTATGCTGTGTTTGGTAGGACGGATAGAAAATTAGAAGGATTAAAAATTTATAAATTCACATTTTACCAATATATCTATATATAAAATTAATGTAACACAATATGTAATGGATAAATATAGATTATATATTAAAGGGTATATAGATAAATAACATAAATATAAATATACATAATTAACTTTTCATTCACTTTTCTTTTTAATTTTAGAAGAATTGATTTTG